GATGTAGAACTAGACTTAAGTCAAGAATAAAGTCATGGCTATTTAACTGAATTCCATATGTGAGTATTTTTTGCGGACATTATGGACCCCGTGTTGACAGAATCGCTCTGTCGCTCTCCCGCGACGGTCAACAATATGTACAAATAAACCACCCCAGATGAAATTTATTGAGCCACTACCAACGGGATGTTCCAGCAATGTAGTTGTGATATTTTTTTCTATTTTTCTTTCTTGATTTTCACCATTACCGAAATTGATGTTGAATTTTTTATTTTTGTTCAAAGTAAGAATTCATTGCTTTATTTAGATTGGTAACAATAAATAAATAATATTTTCCATCCTTTCAAAAAGAATAACTCAGTTAAACTTATTTAATGTCTTCTATTTTCTTTGTAATTGTTACTACGTTGGTCAATCAAACCGAACTCAACGAGGAAATACCAATTGAGCTCATCTTAATTGCTCGAATCAGTGATGAGTGGTGAGAAGAGATACTCTAGTATCACGTACGCTGTTTGCAGTTCAATGAAATCAGTGCGAAGCTAATTCCCAAAGCACTCGGAACCCCTTCAGACGATCACAGCTCGCCAAATGAACCTCGTAATATTCGCTTTTCTACTGTAATTACGCACCCATTACCAACACTAATCTCTCTACCTCTACGAATCACAGCCAAACGAAAATGAGTTCTATTTCAGGGAATCAATGACCACTTTCACTTAATAGTGAAGGTGTAGATGGAGCTCACGTATTTTTACAAAGTCGTAATCGTTCTTATTGCCTTAGCAGTAAAACTAAAATCGTTGGTCATGTTTTAGTGCAAGTGATTTTAAAACTAGTTTTCATAGCCATAAGAAGCACATTGTAATCTCGTGTGTTGCACAGAGTAGGGTGGCAGCTAGAAGCTCGAAGGAGTTAATGCGTGACGCACAAAAGACCAAATCACGACCCTCCCGACGTGGCCGCGGCGTCAAAGAAGAAATTTGTATTCCAATTATGACGCTACAGACACCCGACGATCAATATCGCTGGCCATTTCACGACAACATGCCGTGTTATGATTGACTCCAATGTTTAATATGAAGTCCAGGTATAGAAATAGACTAGGCTGAAATAGTTATATTTGTTATTACACTAGCTTCGCCGCAGTGAGTAATTCTATTTTGATCAAGATACAAAATAATCAAGGTAAGTTCAAAAGATTATTTCATTGAAGGGTGATTTAATATATTATATCATAATATTTATATTATTGATAAATAAACATATCTTCGATTAGTTACGATCTATATTTTCGTAGACCACTGATCATAATACCAGACATACCATACAATTTCTGGTAGCATGGTATATATTATGTTTGAAGTAAATAGAGGAACATCTTTCATTATAGCAATAAAATAATAATAAATGGATAATTACTCCATTACTGCATTACCGTTTCACTGAGGACAGGGAGAATGCAAGTAAATACATTAGACCAGTGTCTATATCCGATGTAGTCTCTATGAATTTGATTCTAAGGTCCATAGAAATACGTTTCTTGTAGGTCACTGAAACTACCCTACGCTATTAGCCATTTGATTGCAATTTCAGCCCCAATCTCGGATTCAATAAAGCTCACCCCGCAGATACATTTTGACATTTCTATCTGTTAAGACATACGATTATTGGCTCGTAATTGCTTTCCATTATTTCGGGATTTTGAGAAATAAAATAAAGCGTTTCTGATATTAATTTTCGATGGTAAAAAAATGGACTATTTTTATTAAAAATTGAGTTAATTTTTATATCTTTACTTGTCGTATGTGTAGGATGGAATGGGGTTATGAAAATAACGCCAACGATTTATATTGTATCTTATAATTCTGGAGACAAAAGTTTCAGTCATATTACTATATTGCTTGTTTTGTAATGTTGTGGAATCGATTCTCGTCATTAATTCTCATACCATAAAAAAGTAAAAATATGTTACTAATGATTTTGAAACAAAATTTTCTTTTTCTTTAACAAATCTTTACAACAGCGAATTACCTATTTTGGCTTATAGCATAACTTATTATTTTAGTTCTACATACTATAAGTAAATAATAGTAATTTATTGTTAATTGTTGTTGATATTTCAATAGTTTATTGTTATAAATTAATAAGATATTTTATAATATATGTAATATGTACCTCAATATAATAATCACATATACATATATCAGAATGTATGGAATAATAGGTGAATGATTTACAGGTATTGTGATAACACAATTGTTCAAAGAGCCTCGATCAGATTTGTTCTAAGTAAGTATTTTTTTTACATATTAAAGAATCTATCATATATTTTGATCATAAAGTACAATTCAAAACTTCTTAAAAGTCTAATTTTATAAAAAGGTTAATTATATAGCAACTGCATAGGTAATACTTTCAAGACAAAACGTTTTTTAGTACTAGTACTTCTAAGTTGGGTGGCCAAAGTGTGGATAAATTTTATTTTTACTTTTCATACTAATGTAAGGTTCTTATTGCATATGCTTGATGTTAACCAATTTGGTAAAAAATATAATTATTATATTATTTATAAGTGTAGTCTGGTATAGTTTATTAAAATCTTTGATTGTTCAATATTATCTATACCTTTGTTTAATAGCGAGTCAAATTATAAAATCCTTATTAAATTATTTTGCATTTTTTCTGTTATGTTTAAGTTTTTATTCCATACAATAAAACTTAAATAAAAAGAGTACCAACTGTACTAGTTTCTGGATATATTTGGCTATATTTTTTATATCTTTACCCTTGTTTGTTGAGTGTGTTTGAGTAGCGTGGTTTGTCTTTGGGTGGGACCGATCAAACGTCGAACACATTGTAATAACATTGTTTTATCAAGGCACAATTAAATGCTTGTCAGCGAATACATCTTGCGTGACGTAATTGATGACGCTGTTTGACATGTTTTTTTTTCGTTGATATTTTGATAGCACGAATTATTACATCTCATGATAAATAGGTGTGATTGTGGACTAGAAGAACCACTTATAAATCTAAAAGGCGACGAATATCTCCTAAAGGTGTCTAGTATATAAATCATCGTAAGAATAAATTTTCTTATGGAAACACATAGTTTAAGCTCATTACGTCATTAAACTATCACCATTAACAAGGTTAATGTTTTAAAGTTTATGTATTAAGGAATCGTGATAGATAAGGATTATGATTTTGAGATCATAAAAGCGGTGATACCTAAGTCATGCAATAAATACCTCAATGCCGAGAACTTGCGTGATACAATATCGTTTTGTTGTAATGTGTGACTTGGAACGTAATAGTAAGCTTACTGTCATGTTTTAACTTTTTGTGTGAATGTTCACACGAAAGTCACTTTTAAAAACGAAACTGAATTGTTTATTGGTGGGACAAATGCTTTAAAGAAACCTATTTTATACATTGGGTTAGTTCTCGGTACAAGGAATTGGTTTCATGGTATGACTGCAAGTAATCCGACTCCTAAAGTCACGCGGCTGCCACGCGCCCATAAACGCTATTGTCTAATGAAATGGAGTAGTGACAAGTGACGTCTCGTCATGGATGACTGGCTAAAGTAACTCTAGATAAAAGTGGGATATTGTAAAATAATATTGCACGAAGCATTTAAATGTATAACTACGCGGTTTACTTTTGTAAAAAAATTACATACTCCCGACGTTCCGTCTACTTTTCAGCAACAGTGATCACGAAGTATATATCCGTAGCGTAGTATATCCGAAACTATTAGTTTCATTTCAATTAATAAAACTCGGTAAAGTCTTAGATCTCATTATTGTACGAAGCAGTTTGTGTTTTTGGAAAACTATGTCTTGATTATTATTAATTTTGCAAGTGGAGTTTTAACTTTTTAAAGCATTAGAATATTTATTACAAATATTTTTGTATGGAGTTTTAGAATAGGTTAACATAAAATATTTTTTTTCCTTTACAATTGTATAATTATTTTGTTTTGAAGAGAACCGCATATCATAATTTAAGAAAAAACACGGTGACTGAGGAATAGGAAGATTTTAGCTCTATTGTATAAATGTGTTTGATATTTAACTAGTATTAATATTTTAATTACATAATTTCACAAAGGGTTTGTAACAAATTAATGAGTTATATTTTTCGAACATTCCTTAATTTCGAATTGGTTTTGGTCGAATTTCGACTAAAATTCATCAAAGAAACACCTAACATTTTAATAAATCTTGCAATGGACAAGCTATTAAACTGAAATGTAGTGAGCCTCGATGAATACTTTTACTTTCATAAAAATTTTTAGGGCTCTTGAAAAGGGTATTATATACATATATTTAATATTTAAGACTATATAGACAATATTTCCACTATTTCAAAATTTATTATGGCATGCTTGTAATAAATTAACACCTGTTAGATTATTTCTTCACTCTCATTAATAGTGAATTCCTTCACTCACTGAAATGTTGATCACTACTAACGGTTTGTGTTTTGAGCAGTTTTTGTCTTGACCAGGGAAAACTTTAACAAAATATATATTTACTAGCCATCAAATAAGGTGCAATATAATTTAAAGGATTACATTTATTGTTAAAAGCACCGAGTTTACTCTTAGAACAGCGGAAACATTTGATATAAAAACACATTTAATTTAAATTGTCCCTTCAAAACATAAAGCAAAGAATATGTTCAGAGGCGGGAGCCGTCCGAGGAACAAATAACGCACCCGAGCTAACTGACCGTGGATAATAAATAGTCCGAATGTTTGTCCAGGACTTACAAATGCGTGAAAGAAACTGTTTTAGTTCATTACACAAGGGGTTTTGTTTGAAATTCCTTCACAAAAAATTCTATGTAACTTTGCCTTCTCATCGTTCATACATAACCTAACCCACGTTCGGTGTAGGTACCTAAATTTAAACCTCTTTCTCTGGCTTTGTCTTTGATAGATATTGTGTAAATTATGCATTTACATTTAATAAATAAATTGTACTAACCTGGCTGACGGAGATGCGTATGCGCATCTAATGTGGATTTTGACATAGCAGATAAGGAATTGCTGCCATAACCTGGAACAAAAATATCTGTTTTATTTATAATATACTGCCATATCATGAATGTTAACCCTTAATATTCTATAATATCAACATAGCAAAAATGAATGATATTGAGTTGGGAATTATTATGATTATTTAAGACGGTAGTGAAATTATTATTTTTTTTAACTTGAAGGTCGTTCATAACTAAGATGCACTTTTGGTCTTCAAATAGGACTAGTCAAAAACAAGAAATTTGGAAAGATTTGTATTAACAGTCAAACAGTAGAATATTAAACTGAGACAGAAATCTACCTCAAATATGATGTTTCAAGGAAAGAATGTCCGATCTCAAATTGTTTCGTAATTAACGTAACCACCTCATCAACGTGCCTCAGGGCATCAAATCTTTATAGATAATATAGCCCATTTACACAGGGGCTGACGTAGCCGTAGGCTAAAAACTATATATGACACTCCGTTATGAACCCTCTATGGTATTGTTTAAGTCATATTTTTGATTATTTGTTAGAGATCAAGGATTATAGTCTCTTTGAAGCTCTCAATAGGATTTCACGCGTTGTTAGTGTTGGAGCAACATTGTGGAAACTCCTTTTGATTTCGGTGTATTTTTGATTCCATGTTCCACGAGTCTTTGATTTTTGGGGCGCTGATAGTGACATTGTTAGGGGATGTTTTCAAAAACCAACTAACCTGTCTTTGTTCAGATAGTTTTTGATATTAGCGACAGAATTGTGTCTTGTCGATTTTAAAATAATCGACAAGATAAAAACCTGTTAATAATTTTTTATTTTATTTCCAGTTTTTGTCCATTGTTTTTATAGTTTTAATCATTTTTATGGTTGTATCTAAATTTGATTAGAAAAAATTACAAATGTTATTCGACAGCAGACCCAATGTTTAAAATATTGTTTGTTCCATACAGATTAAAAAATATGTATATTATTTAAAATTTAATAATAAAAGCAGATAGTTAATATTGTATTAAATGAACGAAATTTTATCATTATAATATAATATAAATGAGAATATGATTCCATTTTAACAGTATTTGCTGTACATAAAGACGGCACTATCCGATGTTTGCTGACAGCACTATCGCCGTCGGCATCCATCATATGAAACACGATATTTTCCAATACAGTATTATAGGAAAGAATCATCTATGAAACTATATTCGGTACAATATATTCAAATAAAATCACGTAGTAAGCTTTGACTTATTTAATGTACTTCTCAGAGTATTTAGACACCACTTACAGACGGTGAAGGAAAACATCGTTAGGAAAACTGGACATATAATTTCAAATTATAAGTTTAAAATCGCCAACCCATCAACAAGCGTGGTTATTAATGCTCTAACCTTCTCCGTGTGAGAAGAGGCCTTTGATCAGCAGCTGCTTTAATATATTTCTAAAAATTATTTATATAAATCTAAATTTTTATTTAATAGCACACCTCGTTCTTCTATAAATATGTTTGTCCCCGGTTTATTTTCTTTACCACAAAACAATTTGGCCTCAAGCGTTTGTAAAGTTTAACACGTAAGATCAAAGGCTAACTATTCAGTTGAGGCGCTTGTTTGACACACCCAACGGCGGTTTGTATGACACAACGACGCATAATTAATTACTCACGACGTTCTTTATATTTAGTTTTGAGTTTTTAATTGCATATTATAAATACGTGCATAAATTTTTTATAAAATATGAACCCTTAAAAACAATGCTCTTTTAATAAATACCGAGGCTATGAAAGGCATATTCATTATATGGCAGATATTTAAATATTCACGGGAATGTTTCATTCATTCAAATTTTTGTTTCAAATTACAATGATCCTTCTAATATTATATCTTTATAATACGTATAGAACGAGTTTTCGCTTCGCAGCACGCAAAACAATAGGGCGCTTATGGTATCCCTCGTAGCGCCGAAAGCGATTTTTCCCCTTGTTTCATCTCACTCACACCAGACTTAAATTACTAAGAACAGAAAAGCTCGGAATATAACGTGCAAAAGCCACTCACAGTTAATTTTCGTAGCCGCCTCTAGCTTCGTCTCCTTCCAGCCACCCGGTTTTAAAATATCCTTATATTATATTTTATTTTTTAATCTCTGTCGCGTTGTTATTGAACGTGGAAACGTAACCTTAATCTCATTATTATATATTTATATGAAAGGTACATAATAAATCATTTTTTTATTTTTAGATGAGTATAATTAATTATTATTTTAAACAGACATATATTTATTTTTAATAGTGTACATATTATATAAGATAATAACTTCAATAACGTGGTAGGTTATTCAAAAATAAATTAATCATTAATACATAAACAGCTATAATACCAAATAAAGAACTAGAGATAATTAAATAAAGTCGTGTACTCATGAAAAGCAAATTTATGGAAAAGTTAATCTATGTAAACAAGCCTTATTTGTAAAAAGGGTAACATTTTAATTAGGGGCGTCACCTAACAAATATTCAGATATTAATATCGCTTAGTTTAAATAAAGTTGTTGCTAGATTATTTATAATTCATATCAAAGTGGTCCCAGGGGACAAAAGTTGAGGAAGTAAAGGGGGTTTATTTGGTAAGCATTCGACTTTTTAATATTATTGTGATAGTTTTCTATATTATAAATTAATTAGACTCTAAAAAATAATGTTACTGAAACTATCATTTGTCAGTTTGTATGAATCTATTAAATTGTTTAATATTATGTTTCTAAAGTATCCTTATATTTTTAATTCCGGGGGAGATCCAATGTATCATATTTATACTGAACGTATTTTTTTTAGATTTACGAATGACTTGATAATAGTAAATATAATAGGGTGAAGCTAAATCGTTAGTAGCTTTTGTCCGGGGGCATTAAGTCGTCACGGACCGACGCGACGACGCCGAGAAGATCCCTTGTATATTGTTATGATATTCGCATTATTAATTACGATTTAATAAATTCACTTATAATTTTTTTCTTTACAGACGGACATTCATTTCTTTAATGCTTTAATTTAATATAGAACTTATGTGTATCTGGAATAATTATTAATGTTGTTTTACGTACCTAAATACTCGACTATCTAAATGTGGTTAGTGTATACAATTTAATATATAACGTCTGAGAAGGTAACGTTTATCGTAACGTCAAATTCAGTACAGCTCAATAACAATAGGATCCATCGAAGCGTGCGAAGTGATAATGCCTCCCTTCTCAGCGCGCCGTATAATGATAATCATCTCAATATTGCATCACTTACCGAAATATTGTAAATGTCAATCAAAGAATTAAGTTTACATTGTAGGCCTGGGGATGGCGCGTGGCCGGCGCAAGCACGCTGTACGCTTGCGTGCCACATTTAGGGGACCCTTTGTTTTGATTTTGAGGCGTAAAAAATGTATAACGCTATATATGTAGTATGTATTGATCACGCAATCAATTTCTAATTCAACATGTTAACATGTTAATTGTTCCAGATTTCTCAGATTCTTGTACGGATTGAATGATTTTTCATATTATTATATATTTTTTCAAAAACTTACCTTGCGAACCCTGTGATGTTGCATGTGTAGACCAGGTACTTTTGTAAGACGCATCTGAAAAATTTAATAAATATATAATCATCTTCTATTTTAACAGATATTAAATAAAACAGTCATGTTAGTATTAATTTAGAATCTGAGGTCTATTTATTCTCAAAGAAGCTTAGATTGATTTAGCTCGTCTAATTCTTTAGTTCTGTTACATCTCTCTTCTCTAACAGCTTATGTCTATTTTCAATCAAATGCAGAGTCTGAAAACATCGAAGCTCTTGAAATTCTTCACCTTAAACCACTTTTCTCAGAAGTGTTGTTATAATTTACCTACTTCTTCCGCGCATAAGAGGCGCATGTAATAGAACGAATTGTTTTGGCCGTAAAGAGACGTGATATTTTTAGAATAGGAATACGAAGCAGAGATTTTATTTTAATATCCTTCATTATTTATTGTACCACTTGTTAACACATACCTAACTGTCCAAAGGTATTCTGAGTATACATATGATTCTTGATTTCTCGATCCTTATGCCTTAATGATGGTAAGAAAGCCGATAATTATAAATTACCAATAGGTATGATGTTTCACAATACCTTACTTTTTCAGATATTGCTGATATTTAAATGATTAATATGAGATGTTGTTGAGTCTAGCTAAAACACTAGGTACACAATAAAATATGTATTTTAAAAGTACTACTAATGTTATTCAGTTTCTACAATCCACTGCCTCAACAAATTACAATGTTTAATAAAAAAATTAACTGTCATATAGTGTTAAGACCGTTGTTAACATATCCAAATTTCGGTTTGTCAATCTTCTTTGGTTTTTGTAGGTGTTAAAAATGATATTGCAATTTTAATATTTCATAGTATTTACATATATATCATTAAATCGTAACGATAAATACATTATTTATGAATTTGTATCAATTTTAAACTATCATAAAGATCTATGCTAATTCCAAACGTGTCATTAACGAATTAATCATATAAATTTATCAGAATTTATATCGTGCGACTTAATAAACACCCTACGGTATGAGGGTAGGGTACATGTATTTCAAATAGCCCTTAGGGGAAGAGAATATGAATTATAATTAAAGAAGCCAGAGTTCAGCACACAAGGGTCGTGTTTGACCCGTAACGTTAAAAGGCCTAAGTGCTTTTATCCATCGACATGCAACTCCCTATCCGACCAACTACACCTTTAAACACAATACTTTACAGGACATGTTGAAGTTACACGACTGAAACGCATCTTAATCATTTTAAACTGAAAGATATATTAAATTCGGATAAATATTTATTCAATTGATCGGATAATATTATTATCATTTTACTTTTTGTTCTTATTATAATGAAAACATATCGTAGTTTAAGCATCCAATGTCGTTGCAAACAGATTACCTTAAATCGCCGTCAAATATAGCACGCAATGAATTGAGTCGCTTTTAGCTCAATCCTACAAAAATATTAATGAAAAACGATGTAACTTTGTCAAAACGCCTTAGAGAATTATAAAATCATATAATATGCTACACATATATGTATTAGACTGTAGTCAAATACAGCAAATAATAAAAATCCTAGTTCCCGACGGCACTCGTGGAACGCGGTGACTTGTCAACGAAATACCAATAGTTTCACGGTTTTTTTAAACAAATATATTCAAAGAAATACTTACATTGTTTGTACTAAGGTAAGCTATGCACACTAAATGAGTGTTGCCCTAACATAACTTTAACTCGTGTTTTCTTAACTATGTGTAAGTATTTCGACAGCAGTTCCAACGGAAGACTTATATTTGTTTTTTTTTTTCCCTTAAGACACATTATTCTTTTAGATGATAAAACCATAGAAACGAAAAAAGTTTAAGATTTGTATGTCAAATCGATGTGGAATTTATTAAAGAAAATATTGATTTTTTCTAAATGCCCTATACCATTCACACTTTAAAATTAAAAATTTTACATTGCAAGAAAACAAAATTGTTCTATCTTATAATATAAAAGTAATGAAAAATGTTACATAACACATATTTATTAATTTATTGAACTTAAATTATTAAAACAAGGAAACTATGAGGAGACTATTATATACTCAAAATATATAATGCTTAAATTATTAATTCGACTTATTTATGTATTATTTTACTTAATAAACTAATAAATTGCTTTTCCAAGTTCTTCAAATTACGATCTCCAGTTATTTGAAACAATCTAATCATATCGAAATATAAATCCGAAAAATATGCTTTTAATGAATTTTGAAGACCTAAAAAACAACATTGTATTAGCAAACGAGGGTAAGAATTCTGTGAAACAATACTATATATAATAGTAGGTACTAATATATACTATTTAAATACTCTTAATTAAATTTGATTTAAATGTTCATTTGACAAATAGCGACGGAACTATTAATACATACGAATTTATTATAATCGTTATATTATATACCATATATATTTATCCTATAACTCTTAACAAAGGCTTATGTATAGTGTTTCATTGTTCATATCACAGAATTTAGACGTATAATATAATTACTATACTTTTAATAAAATATGTTATATAAAAATATAGAATAGACATCATAACAAAGTCAATGAGTCAGAGTTATGTTCAAATCTTTTAAAATAGAACGAAAGTATACGACAAGAGACAGTAATTAAGGGATAAAGCCATTTCAGTGTAATTATGCTCTTTCACAGCTGCAAGCAAAGGTGCGAGGCAGTTAAGATTCGTGGGTAATCTACAGTCTACGGATGTATTAAGAGTTAATTAATGCTTCACACCTTAAATTCTTTTTTAAAAGCGATGGAAAAAATCCTACCGTTGAATTTTTTATGAAATCTTGATGAGCAGATATACGAATATACAATAAGTTATTAAATGTCATATATCCACCATTGTAGGTAACGTTATAGTTTCTTAAAGTTCGGTTTATTTATTTATTGGTTTGTTTAATAAATAATAATATTACTAGAAATTATATAAATTTACATTTTTTAAAAATAGATAAACATCGTCGGGGCAACATCTTTGTATGGTCAAAATATCAGTGACGCTGCTGACTCCGCGGAACGAACACCAAGCCTTGTGAACCAAAAGATTCCTGATACCACACAAGCAATGGAATGGTATTTTAACATTGGTTCAATCCCCCGATTGATAAGTCCCCACCTAGGCATAGGTTATAAGTTTTAATATGTAATTGTTATTATACTATACATATAAGTAAGTTTCGTTGTTGGAACCTCCGGTTGACTCCCTATATATGTAATTACATAATAAAATGTTTTGTTTTTAAAAACTCCCAATATTTAATAGCGGTTTTGTACTAAATAATACTTTTTTATTATATATATATATACCGTTTTATCAGTAGGTAGTGCATAGGACATGTGTTAGAATTATTACATTATCGATAGAGCTTCTAATTTGATCTACATATATACATCTATTATCAAAATAAGTTGAAAAATCCGGTCAGAACTCAAAATTGAAGTACAGTTAGTTATATTCCATAATAGTCAGATTTCTAAATAACGACTAGCTGCTGATAAAATATTTATTCAAATTATAATCTATTTAATTTCAGCAAAGCAACCAAAAGCCCATATGAGATTAAAATATAAGACATATTTTCGCCTTCACTGTAAATAAGCACATTACATAAGCATATACGAGTATATGTTGTAATTTGTATGAAGTGACCACAAACTGTTTTTCAAAGATCATAAGACACATGTCAATGTAAAAGAATCCTGCATCTGCTTGCTACGGACTGATGCTAACAGAGTTGGTTTCCGTTCGAGAACGCTCATAAATTACTTATAAGAAATTACCGAATGTAGGAGAGAATTTTGCGCACTCTTAAATCTCTTTATACACATCCTTGTGACGTAAACTTTGTTAAAATTGAAGACGGTTCAGACTATTTTTTATCACGAACACTTTTAACTGTAACATGATTTCTTATTGTTAAAACATTGTAGAATGTGAAAACATTGTAACATTTGGGAAATATTAAATCAAGGTAACAGAAATCAACGTTGAATGTGTTATTAAATAATATATTAATAGAAAATAAAACGAAGCAAATAAAGCCTCATTCCTTGTTTCAAACATAACATATGTAACTATAAATGTATAATATATCATGTATGCCGTTGCTTATAAAAAAAATCTTTCATAAAGCTATGCAAATTATTCTGTTAAATTTATTTTTATAATCATAAATTTATGAAGCATTTGTACATCGTTTATACATACATATATAAATGAATATTCATGTTTGCACCCTTCAGAACGTTTTTCAGATCCTTTGTAGTAAAACTTTTGAATCGACTTAAAGCAAAAGTTATTGGTCTAAAAAATCTATATACAGGGTGACTGGTGAATTACTGTCAATATTTAAGGAGCATACTCGGTACATGATTCTCATTCGAATTATGTAAAAAAAATAGGTACTTAATTTTTGACCAAATTTCCGTATAAATAAATAAAGTGTTGACACGTTCTAAGTGTTCCAAGTGTGGACGCGTGCGGCGGCGTGCTGATACAACACAACGCCGCCGCACTCGTATGTGTGAATGTGGGTGTATACCTAATCTGTAGGGTGTTTACACGATGCGTAATTAATTACATAACTTTTGGTTAACTTTACTTAGAAGTTTATTAATATTTATGTTATATTAATTTTTATTTTGTCATATATGATCGTCACAAATCACGTCCTCAAATATCGATAGTAATTCACCAGTCACCCTGTATAATAGGTTTCAGTTAATTCTATGTGGATCCGTTTCAAATCTTTACGTGAATAACATTGTTCCGTGTTTTTCATTAATAAAAATAAGAACTTAAAAGGATAATAGATAATTTTACAGTAAAAAAAATGTATATTTTGCATTTAGTGTATTTGCCATAGATTCAAGAGAAGATTGATAAGTTTCATGTTTAAAAGGTTATTTTTAACAATTTATTATAATGTTTTACTAAATATCATTGAAACTAGAATAGCGACGAACAAAAAAGACTGCGAGTATTTATTGACTAACACTACATAAGTGTTAATTTTCAGGATAAAACTCTGAAGAGGTGGTAGAGCCTAGCTGTGGTCAAGTTACTACAGGTTGAACATGGGCTGGCTCGACCGTGGAAGTACCACCCTCTCACAGAAGATCAGCGTGAAGTAGCCTTTAATGGCTGCATTTCATCCTATAAGTGAGAGAGCCGATTGCCCTTTCCCTTTCCCTTTTCCCACCCTTTCCCGTTCTTTCCCTTTTCCTACCCTTTCGTCACCCTCTTCCACAATCAAGGTCGGCAAGGCATCTGCAACATCCCTAATGTTGCACAATGCACATGTCTATGGGCGACGGTAACTGCCTTCCTCTAAGTAGGCCGTCAGCTTGTTTGCCACGTTTGATATATAAAAATATATATAAATTAACTACATACTCATTTTGAATGCTTTTTTTCGAAAATCAATGAACAATTCTTCTAGATATGATGAAACTCTTTTGCAGGTTGAACAAATCCTTAACATATAATCTAATACGTATTGATTATTATTATTATTTAACTAATAGTAGAGCTAATATAAATCCAAATCTTTGTTTCAACTTATTAAAAATAATCATTAAATGTTTTTAAGGAAATGGCCAAAGTATATTTATACATACGTACTTATATTTGAGACTTCTCTTGTTTGCCTTATAATATTCTTTTTGTAGCTCCAACGTTGAATCGAAAAAACGAAGTATAAGTATTATTTATTTTGTACGTGTTACTGAAAGCAACGAATAAACTCTCATATATTACTTGACTTCCAAACTTTCTTTAATATTACATTTAAAGTACATTGACCTGGTTAGAATTTAATATGAAAAAGAGGAAAAGCTTGTTTTGTGTTTTTCAATGTATTATGAGTGTAAATCAGCATTGGAATTTTTGGAAGTAGATTTTCTATAATGATTGACGTACTAAAATAATTTAAATTTAAATAAAATTATCCTGAAAACTTGTATAACTATTTTGCATTGAGATCTATTCACTAATTTTATCGTTTTTAAACAAACTGAATTAAATACATATATAAGACCAATTTTTTTTTCAAGGCTTTTGTTATAGGTCTAAAACTTAAGCATTAATTACATAACCTTTAACTCAATTTTAATAAAAAACCTGTTCAAGCCTTTAACAATACTTTTTTAAGTGTAAAATTTAAATTGTTTGTTGCGATCTGTATCATTAATTTAAATGAAAGGAACACAAAAATAATAACTTGCATTTCCAGTGTAGGTACTTGACATAATCGTGGTGTAAACCACGCAGGCAATATAAGAGTTAAGATGCAATATAAAAATACGATTAAGTAAGAAACGCATACCTTTGAGAACTAATTTTTATAATGCTAGTAATAGTAATCAAGATTTCTCAAAAGTGGGTTGCAGAAATATCAGTTACCGAAAGTCAAAAAATACTGGAAGCATTTTACTCATTTCATTCATTAATCTTATTTTTTACAACTCCCTACCGGTTGCTCGTTCACGTCTTTCGTATAGAAATAATGAAATACGCACATAAATATTGACATGAAGACGAAATCTCGGTTAAACGAAACGATACGTTGTACTTACAATATATAGTTCGTAAAAAAATATATAATAATCGTAATGAAACCTGTACACCAAACCGGCAGCACTTCACACAAAGTTCACAAAATAATATAAGAATATTCACCAGCGAACAGCATCGAGAAGTTGGTAAATGTGCCCGACCGACTGAGATAGTCGGCGGAGCCTTTGATGTCAAGCATGGCGCGGTTAAGTCGATCGGGACATTGTAGTACGTGCGTCACTCATCGCGTTACCGACACACTCGCTTCTGTGCTAGCCATGATCTCATCTCCAGCAAGGCGTGGCATACACCAGCCCCGCCTAGAACCAGCCCCGGGCACCCTCACAACACGCCTCGCCAATAGCGAAACACTCCGGCTAATCTTTATCACGGGAAAAATAAACAGGGGTGGGAATAATGACGAGGCGCTTCGACGGCGCTGGTAATCACAGCGCTTTGTGGGCCGCGACAGCCTGTTAGCGAGCTTATCCAACGATGGTTTGGCGAAAATTGAATGCTTTGTGTCGCTCTTACCGATTTTTTTTTACACGATATTGCACTGTCTCGAATCGATGTGGATGCTGGCTTTAGGTGTAAGTCAGTACAGCGTTGATGTATTCAATGGAGATAAAACTGCTAGCGTGTAGTCTAGAGCACAATGTATTCGTCAAACGATTTTGTGTACATGTTATACATAGTTATGTTCATATGATATTAAAACATTTTGATACAAGGTCAAGAAACAACACCAGTTCAAAAGTATGAATACTTTAGGTTATTCTATTATCTCTTAATTGGTTTTTCTATGTTTTTATATTAAATTGATTTTTAATAATTTGGCTATTCATGATAAACTGTACGTGCTAATAACACCTCTTTTGATATATTTGTTTCTTTATATATAAGAACAAGATAGATAAGGGAATTTTTGATATATGCTTAAGCTACATATATCGAAACTTCTTAGAGCACGTTTTATTATTGTATTACGATGATAGAATAATATTATTTGTACAGACAAGAATGAAAGATTTCTGTAAACTGTTTACATGTACAGTACATATACATATAAGTATTTATATTGTTGATACAATAGACAAAGAGATCATTACGTTTTATAATATGAATCTGAAATTTAATTCAAACATAAATTGCGGACGTTTCACAAAAATATAATTCAAAACATCGTCCCATCGGTTACTTATGTCGTCGTATTCAAGAATTGGCACCCAGAACCAAATCGTTTGTCGTCGACATATTGTTTTATTCTTTTCAATTCTATTCAGCGGACAGTGGAACAATACCGGCGGACAGAATTGCTCTGGTTTTATTTTTTATAAATTGCTACTGCGTCCCCTATCTCGATCATTGTCCATATAATTGGTTGGATTCAATTTTAGACGTATTGTTTTTACTTCCATCATTATATTTTCGTGTTGAAATATTGCTTATTATTTCTATTTATTCATAATATTTTCATTATTCAAAATTATTGGGAACGTTCATTGATAGAACCTATTCTAAGAAAGTGTTAGAGTGGCGTGCGTGACGAAGTGAAAGTTATAATTTCACATTTAAATCCCGTAAACTTGAAGGTTTCAACCTCTCGTGGTGTTTGCATGGTGTTTCAAAAGCGAAACAGCGTTACAAGGGTCATTCATCACCCCAGTCCCCTCAAACACCGCGTCATAGTCTAATAGAATTTTAATATTTATACCATAGATAATAGAACTCAAATTCATAAAGAATTTCATGTCACACTTCCAGATTATTAAAATATAAAGGGGTGTAAATGAAAATGTATACATCCTAGAAATCTAAGTTTAACACAATAACTAATAGTCGGTTAAAATATGAAGGTAGATTTATTTTTAATTTCCATTGATTCTAAAATAAATCTACCTTCCTTGTAATTCTTTCAGACTGCCCAATACTGATTTAATGATATTCTTTTGTAATCGTAATAATCTTTGTAGCTATATAAAAGTTTCTTAATATTAATAAACTTTTAAAACGCTAATAAACTGAAACGTTCGTAGAGATTTAATGTGACGAACGAAATCGATTTTTTTTTGTAATGAAAAAGCAATTGAAGTACGGATTATTGCATTCGAAGCTTTCAGAGTTGAGTTTTTTTGGTTAAAAAAAATCCATTTGACGAGAGCAGGGTCCAACAAACTAGACGGTTTATTGAACGAATATTTGCTTTGCCTGTTCTGTTTCATAAACACGGAACGTTAAATTTTAATTAACTTTGAATAATTGTATTTTATTGTTTAAATTTCATTCTATGAGCAAACTTTAATTACATATTTATATACAATAGTTAGGGTATGTATTTACTTCGTTTATTTATAGTCGAATAATTATGTACTATTAATACATATAAGCATTTCTTATTTAAGAAAACCATTTTCATCACACTTTTTTCTTTGTTGTTGTCAATATCTAGCAAATAATAAATAAAATAATGATAATGTATACCAATACCTATTGTTGTATTATAAAAAATATTCATTGTAAAGAATTTTTCAAAATAATTTTCTATTAAATTCTGGCTTTACTGAAATCCTTTGCTTGTGTTGAGTAAAATTAATTATTAAATAAAACTTGTTTTTCATTACTACACATAAAACAAAAAATATACTATTTTGTTTTAATAAATAAACGGAAATATTCATGAAAACTAGCAAAATATGTTTTAAGACTATTACGATTAATTAAAAGTTTAAAAAAGCACTACACCTTACTTGATATTTAAAATGACTGATTAAAAATTTTATAACTAATTGAAGTCAACGAAGTCTGTTTTTGTATTCAATGTTGTATAGAAATATAGTTGTATGAGCTAAATTTCAATGAAAGCATCTGTAGGTAACGTAACTCTTTAATTAAAAAACTTTATATAACTTTACGTTTATTTTCTTTGGTAGTCACGCTTGTTTCATATTCCCGATTCTGCTAATAACAGAACTTACGCTCGGACGGACGGTTGCAAAATTTTGTATATCTGTGCACAATAGTCCTGAAAACTTGGAAGTGTGAATATCTGTGCTTAAACACGCGGGCTTGTGTGTGTGTGTGATCGATTCAACGACGTCGCCGCGCCGCGTACTTCCGACCAGCCGCGCCGTAGACTGAAAGGCGTTTACATAACACCGATAAATTGGCTATAGACCGAACGGTTCGGCTATTTTGATATCCTAATTAAATTTTCCTTGACGTAGGATATATACTAATTGATAATTTAAATCTATCCACCCTAATAGACTTTCATAACTTGATTGCTGTATGTTTTTAGAGTATCGTTTATTTACTAAACTTAACTATTTGTTAGTTATACTTAATAGGAACAGACTATAATGAAAAATCTTTCTTAGTATATTATGTTACTTTGTTTGGTTATGGTATAGTCCAGAATTAAGCATTTCAGACATACCTACTTATTGTTTAAAATAGTTATTCGATCGGCACTAAATAAAACTATTAAAATAAGATTCCTAAAAGTATGTTTATGACTAATTTTTATATGTAAAAATTAATAAAATTGTTGAAAGAACCTTTATGTAATACACGAATAGTAATTTGAAATTCTATTCAAGGTCGGTCTGGACTCCACGTTCATTATGTAAATGACAGCGAGCCTTTTATGCCGACGGGTTTTCATTCGTTGCCATATATTAACAGGTTGTATAGTATTTAGGAGCATTATTTTTACATTATCTGTTTGATATATCTATATGTTATTATATAATTAATTGGAGCGATTTAAGGACAATGGTCTTTTTGCTGTAATATGTGATAAAAAATCATTTTAAAGTGAGACATTCTAGAATTTTTATTACCTGTCTATTGCATGTAACATTACAGTCAACGATGGAGTAGGGACAAAGTGAAAGGTTTTAGGGAGAGCTCTTTTTGAATAGCAACAGATATATAATGTTTCACTGGCAGCGATTTTAATAATTTTGGCTCCTGGTTTTATACACGCAGGCTTAAATAAATGTATATATTTTGATATCTTACCTATTATTTGATCGAGATTATCAGTTCTATATTCTTATACAAAAAATAAGACTGTCAAGGAGATTTAAACATTTACAATAAAGTGTCTACGATTTGAAAACAATAATTTACATATTTTTTTAATCATACATTATGGTTTTAAAAATGAAACTAATATTTACAATATTTTAATAGTTCATATTGAGCTTCATTAACTGTAAGTAGACTATTAATAAAATTTTATATAAAATGTAAAGAAATATGTATAACTGCTTAAATATATTCTGATATTTTAACTAAAGGCATCATTTGTGTTTCGCATTATATTTATTATATTGTCTATACATAGTTCTACATACATAGCTCGAGAAAACAGTAAATAATATATCCGTATTCTATAGAAATGAACCTATGAAAAGAACTTTTACCTGCTAAAATTAAATTCATTGAAGTAAATAATTTAATATTTCAAACATTCCAAATCTAAGCGTGTTTGTTTACTTGTACTTCGACAGCCAGCTTTATCCGTACTTAATTTAAAATTAATTCAGCCAGGCGGCGTACAGGAAATGAGCTTAGAGGGGTGGGGGGTGAGAGGCCCGGGAGATGGGGGGGAGGGAGTCGACAAGTTCCAAATTAGACTACTGTAATCCGAATCATCGGATAACTTGATAAATCCGTATGAAATGTTTTAAAAGGTCTCGCCACTGCCGGATAGTAGATTTGTATATTTCAACCGTAAAATCTATTTTACTCAATGTGAATATTATTTTTATAAGTATTTTTTTTTCACGAAAAATATTTCTCGTATTTCAATCATGATATTTTATTATAATTAAATGACACTACATATATTAAACTCCTTTTTAATTTTTGTTCAACAATATTGGTAATAATCTTCTGTGCTAATAATAAGGATTGATTGTTTTGTACGTGTTTATTTTACATGGATTTACTGATTTGTCGTTGTCTGAACAGGAAGATCGCTTGTGAGGGTCTGTCAGTAAGCAATATTTGTAATGTCTCAAAGTATTCTTTAGATAAATATATACGTAATTGTGCGGCAGAATCGTTTGCGTTGTTACTAAAGTCATGTCGATGGAAATGTGAAATGTTCTATGTAATATAAAAGGATTTATAATTTACAGATATTTTAAAGATCTGGCTTAGTATGAACGAAAATAAAATAACCCTCAGAGCAATTTACTAAACAATGAACGAGAATTGCGAGCTACGTAGCGGTACAAGCGCTAACTCAATGAAAAATACGGTATATATTTCGCTTGAATGGTTTGGTAAAGTACATTAGTTCAATAATATTATTAATATTTAGAATGATTCAATTTGGATTCATCAATTTAGTATAATTTTTGTACTGACAATTTCATTATCACTAAACAAAGACCTAAAAATCACCGCGATATATGGTAAAAACAACACAAGAAATTCCAAAAGGAGACTGTATAAAATCCATATTCATTTATTTTGTAATCGATCGTATAGATGAAGCTCACAAAATTAGTTTGCTCGCATTCAATTTATTTGCAGAGAGCGATTAATAACGATTTTATATGTGTAAGCAATCATGTATCAAAACCATCGTGTTAAAATTGAAATTGTCGGTTTATATTTGAAAATTGTAACGTTGGAGAGTTAATAATATGAAAGCAGTTTTATTAGTTTTATTTTTAATGATTTTAAAAATAAAAAAAAAATTGTTTTTTTTATTCCTTCAGATTTCACAGCAACTGAAGGACATAAAATATTTGCTATACAAATTAAATTACAAAATCCCATATAAATAAAACAATATAATGTTCTCGTGAAAAGTTTAAAATCGTATAATATAATAGAAATATTATATCCACATTGACAGTGGCAGCTACCCAGACTATCAACAATGAGAGGGTCTTATTGAAAAACTTTTTAGGTGGACGTTTTAATTAGTTTACTGGGGAGTCGAGATAGAACCCGCCCGCCTTGAGGCCTCTTACACATTCAGTTTGAAATACTAGGACCAACTTACATACATAACTATAATAAGGCTTCACAGATATATGCGTTTGAAACACTTGTATGTGTTAAAACTTGAATAAGGCTATGTACGTGATGTCGGAGATAAATTTCACTTGTTTTAAGTGATGTCATATACATAGACTTTGATAAATTATGAATCATATAATAATTTTACTGTTTTCTAAAAGATTAGTAAATATACTTTACGTATTTTTATGTTTTAGTCTTAAATTAAGTTATCGCGTAAATGTCAATTTCATACATTCATATAAACAATAACAAATAAATACTGTACAGAATTTTCATAAAATAATATATCGAATTAAGTCATAAAGTATTAAAATTTTGTTGAGTGAAGAGTGTGTGAAGTAACTGTAATGATAGCTAATAATTAGCTGATTATTCCTTAGTATAACATTTTTAAGGTCATACAATGCTTTCAATGTAAACAAATCAAACAGGTGCAGTAAGTTAAGCAAACAAGCCGCCAATAAAACTTGAAATGGCGCCGCAGAGGCAGTTTTAATCGCATTATCAGCTAGATTAGCGGTAGGAAGGTGTAAAGGGTCTATTGTAGTTGCGGGTATGATCGGAAGTGCCCCCTCCCACGGAAATGGCGGTAGGGAGCGGAGACGGGGACGTCCGGAGGTGAAGGTAGGTATTGTCCGGACAATGACCTACTTTGTAAAACTGCATATGAGTATTTAATATTACAATTCCGTGTTTTGAAGATGCATTTACTAGGCACATATTACATCTGAATATTGAATGGAATTTCAAACGTATGAAACAAAGCTTTTAAGTCAGTCTACTGTATATGTACATACAGAAAATTATCAATGCTGTATTTGTTATAATTTTTCCAGTCGTATGAAAATAATTATAATAAAAATATTTTAAAAAGTAATATCGAAAAAATATACTAAATAGTTTTTACTGTGTAAAGCGCCATCTTTCGTACAATGGAATCATTACATAAGACGGATAGCGTTAGGTCGTTTGTCGTGCCCTCTACTATAATTAGTTTGAACTACGCTCTATCAGAACTTTTCTAATCAAGTTTCACAGTCAGGACACTTAAGTTCACAATAATTCGCGTAGAAAGTGCTGCTATTCCTACGAGTAAAGTTAAATGAAAAAAATATATATATAAAAATGTTTATTGAATTGAAATATTTCATGAATAATTGAGATTTTATTTCTTTTTCTTTTCTTCTTTTAATTTGTATCTCAATTGAGATTCTAGCATCGCCATATAGTCAAGATATTTCTGTCCCCATGGGGAATATGATTCGTACCATTGTTTATACATATCGTACTCATCAACACCAGTGTACACAGCTTCGTCTATGTCTAAAACGGCGTTAATTATTTCTTCCGGTTTTAATGGTTTAAAGTAAAGTTCGGCAACGCGTTTGCCGTTTAACAGATTGTTCAATGCCTTCCGTATTGAATTTATGTCGTAACCTCTTAGAACTTGAGCGACACTGTGGACATTAAAGTCGCGACTGATCCCATGATAATTCATTAAAGTTTTAGTCAAAACATATGATATACTGCCATAATCGGTGCGCGGGAAAAGTATTAATGAAGGAAAAACCTTGTACATTTGACCACCTCTTGCTAGCCAAGGCTCGCAAGCGGTACCTAATACTAATATTTTATCCTCCGTAGCATTTATGGGTTTTATAATTTCTTTAAAAAAATCTTTTTGTAGGCGTTTCGGATCAAAGAGTCTGTCTTCCTTGGGTACTTTCTTACAAAATATTTTATCTGCATTATCTACAAAAATAATAGATGGTTGCATTAGCCTGCTGATTCGATTAACGTAGTGGAACATTATTTTTAAATTTTTGGGACCCGGAAACTTATTATAAACATTCATGGGAGATAAATCTATAAGAATGGAGTTCGTTTCCGTCGCTATGGCGTAGACTAAAGTTTTTTTACCGGATCCCTTAGGTCCCACTAGTAGTTGGGACCTTACTGCGTTATGACAAGAGGATCCTAAAGTCAGAAGACATCGAACTCTTACTTGTTCTTTAACGTCACCGATACATGGTGGAGGAAAAGTGGGCGTCCATAATATGGCGCGAGTATCAGCAGCTCCGTAATTTTGATCACCCCAAAATTCATCCAAGGTAATATGAGGATATTTTTTTATTATTCCTTGATCAACTAATTCTTGGAACATTCTCTCCGGGGGTATCTTATCAGGTTTCGGTTCCTTAGGTTTTCTTGGTTTTTTCCTTTTTTTACTTTGTGGTGGTTTTGCAATCCCGGCATCCTGATAGTCTATTTTTAACGAATTTTTGAGCATGTTTAATTCAATTCTCATCATTTCATCGACTATGGGCCGTAATTGAAATTGAAGATTTTGATAAGCGTTTTCAGTAACAAGTTTCATGATGTAACCTTTAATTACGTCTGCTGGGGGATATTTTTCATCTAAATCTTTCCATTCAATCTCATAATTATTCCAAGCCTCTCGCACATGTTCTAAGTTATGTCCAACAGTTAAATACACTCCCGGATCATTAGAAGGATTTAGACGAGCTTTTTTATAATCGAGTAAGCGTTTCTCCTCGCGCATCTTGGCCTCCATTTTCATTCGTTTTTCTTCTTCACGCGCAGCTAATTTTTCAGCTTTTATTTGTTCTTTTGATTTTTGTTGTGCGCCTTCCGCTTTGAGTCTTTTCTCTTCTTCCGTCTTCCATTCAATATAATCTTCAATAGTAAATGTTTCGCCTTTTACTATTAATATTGATCCACCTTCCTCAGGATAAGGAAATTCGTCAAATAAACGCAATTTATCATACCATTCTCGAAGCCATTGCCGTATTTCTGCAGATATATCTTCCATAACATCACCTTCTCTTAATCTAAATACTCGATCATTTTCTTTAATGTTCTCTTTAACCCAATCTTCATGATATTTACGTCTGAAATTGCGCCTTTGTTCTTTTACTTTCTCTAATTGTTGTTTTGCTGAAGGAGGGTTCCAAGAAGATATAATCATATCAAGTTTTTTATTCAGCAATAGTTCTCTTTTATGCTTGCGCTTCATTTCCATAAAAGTGCGATATATTCTTTGGATTAACGACGATGCTCTTTTTCTTAAATGTTCACTAGCTTGGGGTTTTTTAAGTCCAGCTAGTTCAAGATAGAGGTCTGTATCCTTATTATATTTATGAACATTTTCTCGTGTTACGAAACGTGATCTTTCCATTCGTTGGATATTAAAGACGTGTGTATTATATTCTTCCTGTAACCTTAACTCTTCTAACTCCTGTGGCGACAAATGTAATGATTCAGTAACAGAAATCTCGTCACCCATAGCTAATTTTCTTTTAAGTTCAGCCTCTTTCTCCATTTGTAATCTCTCTTCTTCTTCTAATCGTTGAGCTTCTAATAGTTCCAATTGTGAAGGTGTGGGAGTTGGATCACCTAAACGATTTCCAGCAAATATTTCGTCGATTATATACTGCATTTCCGCCTGTCTTATTTCAAAAGGATAATGAAAAGGGCAAAGTATTTTTATGTCATCTGGTACTATAAGCATCTGTTGCAAAGCATTTTCTGGATACGTAAATTCAAACACTTCAACGTTTTCTAAAGTAACTTTTAGCTCAAGGAGGCGGCATGTTATAGCGTCAATTAATGTTTTTATAAAAGGCCGTCTTTGTATTTGTTCCATTTGATCATAACACTCACACAATTTATTATATAATTCGCAATATTTGCAATACACTCTTGAAACGATTTCGACTGCTGTTGCTTGAGGTTTAATTCCAACAGCAGCTACTGCTAGTTCCTGTAGCCTTTCATCTTCGGCCAACGCAACTTTCATTTGCTCTTTTATTTTGAGCCATCTCTCGTAATAACTTTCATTTGACATTATTGTTAAAAGTGGATCCTCTAAAAATATAATACGTTTAAATGTTAGGCGAACTAAAAGATCTAAAAATCATGGGAATAATATATTTATATATAAATATATACATGTATATAAAACGTAAAATATTGAGTGACAAGTCAGAGAATTATATAAAAAATTTCTTTTATTGTCTTCTATCTCTCTACTAAAAAGTTTTTAATAAATTGCTTAAAATAATAATTGAATTCATTATATATAATTTTATGCGCTTGCTAAAACTAAACTAACATTGATATATTTAGAAACAGCCGACGTACGAACGCCTGAGCAATTTATATCTTATATCTTGTTCTTTAAAACATGGGGGGGAACTAACAATACAGTCGTAGCCCCCGGCGCTGGTTACAATAAAAATGTTTCAAGTGCGCCTCCGTACGTTCCATTGACTATTAGAATCGGCGCACGCGCTCGTCTCCCGCTTCCGGCTGATGACGCGTGCCACTTTTGAGCCAGTGGATTAAGTAACGAGAGCCAGCGATTTGTTATAAATTGAAAACTATACGTACGTTTTTGATAGATAAAATCGTTTATTTTTTTCTCAATATAGATTTTATTATAATAGTTTATTGACTTTTATATTGTTGCAAATATTTATCTTGCTAAATTCGTCACTTTTATATAAGTAATATAGTACAGATATTTAATATTTTTTTATAAGTAAACTAAATAAACGTAAACTTTAAAATGAGTTGTAATTTATTTAAAATGTATGGAAAATTAAAATGACATATCAATATCCTTTCAATACTTGTAAAATTTTGAAAACGTAATTTTTAATTGTATTAATAATATCTAAAGTGTATAATTTGGATCCGAAATCATAAATAGCTTGGTCCGAAATGCAACGTAACAATGATTTATTCACTATCGCTCCGATGTATTCATTTCGGGTGTAGAAATTTTAGCCATTAATTTTGTTAACTCTGTCTCGGGCAATAAAGCCGACTTGGGGTGGGTTAAAGGGATCATTGCTATTAGTTTGTTTACTCAATGCTCTATGCACAATTTTCACTTCTTTACCTTTGTGATTACAGTGATGTTACAGTTTCATGTCATGTGAATACATTGTAATGACACCTACCTACTTTAAAACTATTCCGTAATTTTGAAATTCCTACTCTATTTATGAACCGCCATAACAGTAATGATGAAAATACTTTGGAATTAAAATGAAATTATTAAGCAAATTTTGATATCGAATTGCTGTGGAAGCGATAATTATTGCTGCATTCGATTTTGCTATCTATTGTATATATTACCGTTACTAATCAGCACTCATGACAAATTAGACACACACCACCCATCCAGTTAGTGGCCTCGAGGAGCGGAACAGAACATCACAATGATTGACCGAACAATGCAACCGGGGATTGGATGATGAACGTATTACGGTGCTGTAAATCTACATTTGTGAAGTATTAGATGAGATTTGTTCTTATATTCAAAAATGTCACAGAGTTTAATATTTCTTCGAAAGTAATCAGCTTTTGCTTCTATCGTTGCCTGAACGAAACAAATTACGAATTAATAAGATCGAAGACTTTCGCCAGTATTCATTTAAATGAAACTAATATTTTCGGATAACTATGCACGCGTTATCATATTATTTTAAAAACTTACTATTCCCAACGTCTCGATTCACTTGAGGTTTTTAAAATAATAATTTAAAAAAAAAGGTGTAGTAAGCCGAAAATATTAGTTTCATTTAAATTATGAATTATTTATGTTTATTTAAAACCAAGATGTGTAGTTTTTTTATTACTATTATAATAATGAGATACTTATTAGGTATATGTAAATATTAAAATGAAGTCTGATTTATATAATGAACGCTTTTAGACCGACTATAACTTTAGTAAAACAGTGATTTATTAAAAAAAGATTTTACCATTTTATTTTAATGTAATGAAATTAATATGATAATAATCTGAGTATGTACGTTAGAATTAGAATATTTTTTGTTACTTCATGGTACGCACTTTACCGTCCATTAGTTATTTTGTGGAATACTTTTGTTTTATATAATTTATATATATGGGATCAATTTACATTTATCAAATATATAAATTAATCGATTCAGAATTTGACGGCTTATATTAGGACTTCCTTTCTTTTTTGTGAACCCGTTTATAAATAAGACGAAACAATTTATTGTTAAACGAAAAATACAAAATGATGATAAACGAAACAAGGCTTGATTATATAAAAAAACCGAGAGCATTATTAACAATTACTGGTTTAAATCAACCCTACATCGTGGATCGTTGCCGGCGCCATGAGAAAAAAAACTAAACAAGTTATGGTTGTCACCGCAAATTTGCAACCATTCGTCGGCGCACGCTCCCGCATTCGATACGTTTGGTATTCATTAGACCCTTAGGGAAATAATTTAATGTTGTATTTGAACTCAATAATAAAACAAAATGAACTCATCAAATTGAGCTTACTAGAAAATGAAGAGATCAAGTGTTCCTTATTAAAGAACATGAGAGTATAAAAATCTATGTACACAACTATATTTTTATAACAATTAGTGTTTGAAACAACGTTATTTTACATATATTATAACATTTAAAAATCTCCTTTATTTGACTTGAAATTGTAACATATGAATAAAAAGCAAGTAAGACAGGTCTGCTGAATATAATCTTTTCAGAATACATTTTATATAGAATTTAACAGATAATACAAAATATAGCACATCAAGAATGAAATACGTATATACTTCCCTATATTATACATGAACTAATCACAGCGTAGCAAATAGCTGTGTAGTATGGCTGAGAGCTCTTAATTAGAGAGAAGCATGTGATGACGCGTGCCACTGTTTAGTTACGGGTCTAAATGCTCCACTGGGATTTATGAGCGGCTGTTGTCGGGTTAATAATATTTATTATAATACTGTTTTATATACATATATGAATTAAAAATTTGCAAGATAAATATCTGCTGATGAAGAAGTGACTTAGTTTGTATCAGAAACTTAAAGAAGTGATTTCGTTTATGTACGAAAAATTTTGGAAATTATCTTTAATTTATTAGATTTTTTTGTTACTATAATAAACAAGTCAGTGAATATTTCTTTATGTTCGATGTTCTTCCAAAGACATTTGGTACGCAACAAATGATCTCACATTTCTTTGATGCGAAGCGACAAATCTGCATCTGTATTAGACGCTTAACCAAGCGAGCTAACTGGGGCTTTGATAATGTACACTTAACGTTTAATTGTCCAACTCTCAACCTTTGAGGTTGCGCTCCATTACACTAGATTCGTATTATAATTATAGCGATTCGTTTTGCATAATTTCACATTGTAGTGATACTTTGATCAGTTCACGTTGAAAATTGTTTGAAGCGTCCAACAGAAACTGTTATTAAAGTTACTGTAAAGTTGCATTGGATTCGCTTAGAAGGAACTTATCTATTTCAATCTACAATATACTTGATCGACCTATAATAAAAATTGCTAGCTATCATCTTGTTGTTTTTTGACGTCAACAATCATTTGTTTTTCCTGTATTATGATCGGTAATTCCGATACCTAAACTTCCATTGTAAAAATGAAATCACATGTAAATTTGAAAGACACGATGTCACTATTTGGGTATCCAGGTTTGGTAGGGCGTGAAGTCATTAATAAGGGTGCGTTGACGTAACCAAGGCGAGATAACTGCGAGGGAGAAGTTATTATACATAATATACTATAGATAGGCTTTCAAGGCGAAATATTGGATAATGGACTGTATGTCGAGAGCAGTAAGAGTTAAAGGTATTATTATTATCCGTGACGTTCTGTACCGCCCTGCAAATAAATTACGACCAGAGATAACTATGTCGCTGTCTACGTTTTATGGCAATGTATGCTATGAAAATTTATTTATTATGATACCTTATAGTGAAAAACTTTCCTTTGAAAGGGCTGCATTTACTCTAACAGAATGTCATGTACATCGCCTACACTGGTGTCAATAGTACCCTACTGACCACCTGGTTTTTGCATTTTGCTCTTTATTGTTACCTTAATAATAATGTTTCAATAATCTGATATTATTTCGACTAACCTGAACATTTAGTTGCTCTAAGAGTATCTGTCAGATTAGCAGATGATGAGTAGCCTTTTGATAGTCCACCTGATAATTTTTCTGAACCTAAAAATTAAACAGAATTTAGCAAAAAATGTAAATTGCAACACATTATATGTATAATTTGGATGAAAATCGCTAGCAAATGCAAGAGATACATAATTATTAAATATAGCCATAGGTCTTTATAACTTAATCTTGTAATTATCACAGTTTAGGCACCTAGGACATATTTCAAGATATTTAAAATACAAGCTTTTATGTCTGTTAGTAAAAAAAAATGGATTTGTAAGTGCTCTAAAATAAAATAAATATGTATAATTTTCTTTGACTTTCTTTATAGGTTCTAATTATTCTATAAAATATAACTAGATTTTATAAAAAGAAATGTGTTTAGCATGAATCTTTAGTATTTCAAAAAAAATCCCAATAAAAATTAATTGAAATAGACGCAGAAACACTTTAGATTCTCCCACGCGAATAAAAAGCTAATGTATCTGTTAGATTTCGAACAATATGTTTTGTATCTATTTATTTATTGTATAAATATGCTGAGGCACTTCATGGGTCGAGCAGAACGCATAAATCTATCCAGTGAGGGGGGCCGATCATTACTGGTGTTTCTTTCGCACAATTAAGTGTTCATTGTGCCCGGCACGGTTCCCATGAAATAGCTGACACAACACGAACTGGATGCTAGCATCGTCCACGCGCCATCTATTGTACGTATATAGAACTGAGAATGATGTCACTCGATACACATCTCAGCCATTATCATTACTGATTTATAATTCACGCGCGAGTGGCTATTGATTGTATAATAATTGTTTGTTTGTGTTATCAAGGGGATGAACTGTGAGAGTTTTCGTTTGTGGATAGCTTTATTGGCTTAGTGGTGTTCGTATTTAATAAGCTAGTGTGATCTCCCCCTTATTTTATTTTTAATTTTATACAACTTTATAACACTCTCTATTTGTTGACCCCGCAAATAATTCTACGGAATTAATCATGTATTTAATGTAATAGACCAATTAAACGTTTAATATTTTTATGTTTATGTCTAAAATTAACTTACTCTGGCTACTTAAATTCTGCGAAAAAAATTGTGAGAGGTATTCTTAAAATAAAGTATATACTGTCGTTTCATGTCGTTTCAAAAATATACAACATTTATACACTCATAAAGATTTTGCAAAGCACAAAAATTTTTTTTAGTCCAAAGTATAGGCCGAGTTCATTACTTGACATCGAAAGAAATAATAAAAGTTAATAAATACAGAAAAACATAGAAGATGAGTGTATCATGATTCTCGTTAGGATTTACTAACCTACATTCACCCAACAAATAATTATCTCTAATTTCTAAATTTGCTATCTTTACAATCCTTAGTTTAGTTGTTGCTATGTAGGTATATTTCATACACAAGCTACCATAAAAATATCGATATATATATAAAAATGAATTGCTGTTCCTTGGTCTCACTAAAACTCGAGAACGACTTAATGGATTTATCTTATCATAGTCTTGAATTCGTGGAGGTTCAGGGAAGGTTTAATAGCTGAAATTTTTTTATAAATTTCCGGGAAAACCCTAAAAACAGCGCTTTTTTATTTCCCATACAAACGGTTTTTTGACATTAGATTTGACAACTAACTATGTAATATGTCAATCATTTTGTCGTACTTCAAAACACGGAGTTTTATGGCTTAAAGGTAAACACCAAAAAAATAAATAAGACATAATTTATTTCTTGATTGAGGCAGTACGAAGTCTGCCGGGTCAGCTAGTCTTGAAATAAATTTAATGTCTTTGCATCGCAGTTTAATAACACTATTTTAAATAACACCTACATTGATCTGCCTTTTTCTTCTTTCCTATTTATTTTGCTACGATTAATTAAATCTTACCAATCACAATGTAACCTATATCGTCTTTCTATACAAATTGTATCGACATACATTTTTTCGACATAAAGTTTTAAAGGAAACAGACATACTTCTCACTTGCGTTACTGTTGCATTCATAATATTAATCCTTATTCCTTATCTTAATAGATACAATAAAATTTATATAAAGACTCCATATCAACAATTTTATCTTTTATAAATTATACAAGGATTTGGCAATGTGTGTGTATATTTTTCATCTATTTATGCAAAATTTTGCCTAAGTTCAGTCCGCACTCTATTCTGTAAAACCATACTAAAATATGCATATATATTATTTTATTCATACAGTTGTCACGTTTTATGTCACTGTAAAATTTTAATGTCTTTTCTCTACTTTTGCACGGAGACGAAAACATGTTCATACACCTCTATCTTTCCTTACATTTTCAGTTTTGTTGGAGGCATACTAAATAGCAGAATTTATACCATTTTGTGTTGATTTTAGGTCAGGATTTTTTTAATGATAAGCTAATTTTTATTAATATGACATTTAATATCTGTAAATATTTTTAATATTCATGAACAAGCGTAGTTATTGGAGCCTAGCCCTTCTACTAATGAAAATAAATTACAAAACAACAGGCCGACCCCAGCCCTTTCGCTTACCTAATAAACATTAAAAAATCAATATACGTATAAGGCCAGTTGCAATATGATTTATTGAAATGTTTTATCACGATACGATCTAAAGTACGCCATCAAATCGACGATTGCCAGATTGAAGATATCCAGAGCGTTTTAAGTGAGGGAGTAATCATTTTCATACTAACAAGACCGTGGATATGAATTTTAATACGTAACTTTAAACGACTGTTAGATTAAGAACTGAATGGGACTTGTATTTTTGCATTAATTTGAATATTATGTAAATGAGAGTTTGCTTGTTTATTATGCTTGGCTGTTTATCCAACCCCTACTAAAAATGGTCTAGAGACAGAAATAACGCTTATCTATGTTGGATATGTTTATACAGAGACGTTGAATTATTTTTCTTGTTACTAACTTTATATAATATTGTACGATACAAAATGTCTTAAATGAAAAATGTTATCATCAAAATTATAGGTAATACGAATGTTTCATACAAAACGGCCAAATAGATTTATCGTAATAATATTGTAAATAAGAAGATTATAATGGGTTATAAATATTAAATTTATATAACTAACAAAAAAACGCGCTTTTTCATATGATTTACCTAAAGCAATATTCATTTCATTCTTAACTTTCAAGTAAACTTAAGAAAAAGTTTCTGTCATAAATTAGATAATAAACAAAGCAATTTTTTATGTCTCCATAATAAAAGTTTTGGAATACTTTTTAGGACTTTATTTATAAATCTGTATTACATTTATTTGTCACTATTTTTACTACGCATAAAAACCTAAACAAAGACATGATGAAATAACTAACATCTATTCTGAACACAATAATATAGAGAGTTTTATAGGATGTACCCGCTTCTATGATTCACTATGTTTTGATCTGTCTCAATATTTTTCTCACAAGCACATAAGTCCTACATTGACAAACTATAACCAAACTAAATATATAAAATTTATATAATTCTGTCATCATGTCCAAACGTTAAAAGATATTAAAATGCTCTGACATGTGACAGTGCCCGTTATTGAAAAGGTATTTCTGAAAATACTATGTCATATTTATATTCTATATCTACTTAATCATAGTATAATTTCGGTCCACGAATTCGTTACCGAAATAATTCTATATCCCATTTAAATATTGTGACAAAAATAGTAAATCATTTACATTCAGAAGGCTGCCTACGTTTCAAATGCAACGAAGAAAATACCGCTGCAAAAATTTTCATCAGAGGCGCCGCCCTCGTTAAAGCCGGGGAAACGGGGAAATCCACCCCCGGGTAAGTTTCGAAATAATGAACTCAACGGAGATAATAAAATTTTATTCTCGCAACTAGTATTTATAAGGCGACGTGATCATCCACAGTAGCGTTGTAGGCGGGTAGTCGTCATGGCAACAGTATGGTAAATCTCGCACGCCCCTATTCCGCTCCCTTGAGAGAGATTGTTATCTGAACAAGAATGTCCCCACCTTACCTACCATATCTATACAGCCTCCTGGGCTTAATCTGAAAGAGTTTAACCACCCTATATCGCAAAATGATACCCTAACTCAAACATATAAGGTCCATTATCAAAAACTCTGAAATATGAAAATCGATTTATGGTGGCGCAAACATCTATGTCTACAATACGATGCTGGAATGAAGAATTTTTATTCTAAGAAACACCTAAGATAAGCTTGAAACATGTTTTCTAAGAATACAAAAAAATAGTAAGGCCTAATTATCTTGATTATTGATAAGGATATTATAGTAAAATGTAATTTTGATTCATGAAGCGTTTCTAAGCTATTTTCATAATTACAGTATTAAGTTTTATCAAAAATAAATTATTTCTTGTTCAAGCCTACATCAGTATCTGTGGTTTACAAATTAAATTATTTAAATCCGATGTTATGAAAGTTGTGATAAAAAAAGTTAAATAATCTTTTTTAAAATTAAAGCCGCACGATAGCTCACCTTTTCAGATGATCACGTCATTAATGTTGTATACAAAAAAAGTATTGTGATTTCATTATATTAAAAACTATTATTAACATAAAAATACAGTTTTTCTTAGTTCAAACTTAAAATATGTTTAACGAAGAAAGATGATAAAATTTTTGTTTTGTCTTGATTTAACTCAAAAAGTAAGTACTTAACATAGGCTATTTAATATTTTTTTGTAAAGTACCCATGCGAAGTCGGGACGGGTACCTAGTAATACATAGTTATTAAAATAAAAAACCGCTATGAAAAATAAGAAAAGTTTCGACCTATATCATTAATGAATTACAAAACCAATTATGAATGAGTTCTTTGAAAAGACGTCCTAAATTCTTTAAAACTATGTACACTTTTTTTAAATGCGATATATTTACTAGAATAATGGTAAAATAACAGCCATGCACATATTGCTTATATAAGCCAGCTTTTATATCCAAAGGTAAAAAATGTTTTAACATCTTAATCTTAATAAAAATGAACTTGCTTACCTAAACTCTTATTTTTCTCTATCGAAGCTATTATAGATTCATCTGTTCTGGATCTTCCAAAGCCATGGTTCGTAGTTGTTGTGTCCTGACCCAATTGACCTCCATAAAAATCCCCAAACGCTGTAGCTGTACCGAGTAATCCTGATCTGTCTTGTAGAGCGGCCTTCGCTTTTTCTACACTCTGTTTCAGTTGCTCGAAAGTAGATTGATGTAAACGGTAAGGTGGCCATTCTGCTGTTGGCCAGGGGTCTTCTTTTAATGCACTTCGTTTTAATTCCAGAGCTCCAGCATAGGAGCAGCTACTTTCGTACATTGCCGCTTTTACTCCGTTTCGGAGTGCTGCCGCGCACTTCAAGCCTCGGATGTCAACCCTAAAATTAAAAGTCTTTTTAGTATGTATATAAAGTATTTTGACAACTTTTACGGCTTTAATATAATGCAATCACAATCTATTTTTTTGTTCAACAAATAATAATAAAATTGTAATGAGCTACAACTTTAAATAATATCTGAATAATTTGAGAGAAACTTAAACATAACAATTGGTAATTTCTAAAATTATAAGATGAATTAACCAATAAAAATGCAAACAAATTATTTTCATACAACATCCGATAGCAAATTATTGAAAGCGATAATATTGTTAAATATGGGCTCAATTTAAGTATTTTTTGTAACATTTTTTGCTGCTAGATAAAGATATAATGTGTGTAAATTAAATACACTATTTCTTCCTATTTTCTTCCAAACATCTTCATGCTGTAGGAGTTGATGTTGATGCTGTAGGAAAGAGAAGATGTCAGTTTTTTCATGTTAGCCTCTCCCTCTCAGGTCAGCCTAATATGTATTGATAATATCTTGTTATTTTAATATTCAATTTATATATTTTACTTCACTATTAATATATTTTAAAAATACTTGAAACTTGAGGGAAAATCAGTTAAGATTAGATAGATTCTGTCAATTGATTCATAATTTTTTATATTTAATTAGTATTTTTTGTATCTCTAACAGTAACACGTATGTATAAATCTTAAGGAAGGTAAAGGCTTGTACTTACTGACCTTCGAATTATAAGATTTCAGATATAAGAATTAGTTCTTACTAAAATGTATAGTAATAATAAAGTTTTAATAATAAGTCAATTTATTCAACTTCCAACTTTTTATCTTTCAACAATTCTAGTTTTGAATAATACGCTTGCTACTTCAATATGGAAAGTAATACTAGATTGTGTAAAAGAAGTTACAACCAGGACATGTCTAGTATTTATCAATATATCTATTGTTATTATTTTTCAGGCAATCGATCCAATTATTATATATTTAAACTAGAAGACCCGGCGAACTTCGTATCGCCCTATAATCAAGAAATATCTGTTACGTTTTTTCATTTATATTTTTGGAGTTTACCTATTAAAGCCATAAATCTCCGTGTTTTGGAGTGCGACAGAATGATTGACATATTAGTTAGTTGTCAAAACTAATCTAAAAAAAACGTTTGTATCAACAATTACTAATAAATTGAAAATTAATCAAAAAAACATTGTCCAGCGGACAAAATTGTGAATCTAAACCATTCCCAGATCCTCTTGAACACACACAAAAAATTTCATCAAAATCGGTCCAGTCGTTTGAGAGAAGTTCAGTGATATACACACTAACGGAAGAATTATTATATATATAAAGATAATGTACTATTACTTAATAATAAGTATAAGTCCCTAAACTTGCGGATAAAAAAATCCTGATCGTATTTCCACTTCCCACTTTATTTCGCAATGCTTTAAAATGAAAAGATAGCAATTCTTACTATACAAAACATTGTTGAAAAAATTTTAATTGTTACTTACGATGTTTTTATGTAATTATCATATTCTGTGTTAGTTATTAGTCTGAATGTAGTAGCTGAATTTATTTGCAATCTTTAAACAGTTTGGTTCTACATAAATAATTTTTAAATCAAAAATATTAAGATATCAGACCACAATTCATAACTTCATTTTATGTACACTTATAAAATATTTATTAATAAATACAACTAAAATAAACAGTTTAAGATTTAAAACTCTGAAAGAATTAAAACGATTGATCTAGCAATATATTATTGCTCAATATTAAAACTTAAATATTTTTAAGTTTTTTATAACAATATACATAATCATTCATTTTGATTGACGGTCAAAATATATGTATTTTGATAACACAAGCAATAGTAGATGATTATGAAGACAATCGCGGCTTTGAGATAAATTAAAACTATTGTATCTTAATATCTCTAGCTTTTTGTAATTAAATGAAACTAATATTATTTGGATTACTACGCCTTTTTTATTATTTTATATACTACATATTCCCGAAGCGACGTTTGGTATACTTCTCATTTGGAGTGATCACGGGCACAGGAGTTTTAAAATAATGAAGTACGCGTATGTAGTAATCCGAATAATATGTATTACTTTCATTTAAATTAATACTCACGAAAGTCTTAGTTCTCATCTTTGTAATTATTTTATAAGTATAGAATGTTACTTAAAAAGCATAGTATCTAAAGCACCCGTTTTTTCCATGAATATTTTGGATGTAAAAAAATCAATTAACAAGAACAATATCGTTTGAATACCTCAAATAGTACAATAGTTTCCAGATCCATCTTACACAATTCTTAAACAAAGGAAGCACTTTGCTATGTTTTATCAAGGGTCATACATAACATAATAGTACCTGTTATGTGCGTTTATATAAATTATTTAATTATAAGGAAGTAAATACATTTATAGTAGATACTGCTATTAAATTTAGCACTTGATCCAATGACCGAATTTCTTTAATGTTTTCATAGACCGTGGCTGTTATGACATATTTTATCTATTATTCCTTTGTTTCTTTTTATTGATAATGTAATTTGAATGTATGGAATCTAATAAGCTTCTGGATTATCAGAAGAAATATATAACAGTAAGTGATTCTTTAGTATATCTACATCAATCTTGACATAGCTTTTTTATTTTCATTGATTAAGTTGTAATTTTACCCATTTTTAGAAGTTAACATTCCATGTTTTAGTGATCTTATACTTAACAATATATAATTATTTACTTTGTGCATTGATAAATACGGAATTATTTCATAACGAATCGGTGAAGTTACATATAATGAATACATATATGATAGAACATGAATAAAATAAAGTAACAATTGTCCTACAATTACATAACAAAAGAATTATTGTAAACTAAGTAATGTATAATTTTATAACCTTGTCATATTTAAACTGCACTAGCAAATATGGTAGGTAATTTTATAAAAATATTTTGTATTTTCAAGGTATATATGTATGTTATTTCAATGTTAATTACCACCTCATGTCGGATATTCTTTTTCTTTTTTGTCGCTTTTCGTCTTTCTTGTTCTTTTCCGTGGTGATGTTTTTCTTGTGGTATCACATTTCAGTGATACCACTCTACCATTAAACACTACACTATTCCCAATATATTTGTTTTCAAATCACAGACCAATATATTGTCACTTTCACAGCATAACGATTTTTAGTTAATGTTCACATGTTAGAATAGTTTGTATATAAAATTTTACATAACATATATGTTGAATTTTTTTTCCAATTTTCTGAAGAATAATGATGATATCGTGATGATGTTCTTTCTACGACTGTTTGTAACGCGCTTGCGCTTGTGCGCTACAACATTCAAATTGATTGCATCCGGCATAAGGGAAATGTGTCGTATAACCAATTTATATTTGCTGCTCGATTTGACCACAGTCTGCCTCGCAGAACTTTCCAAACTAAACGATTATCTGTACGAGTTAAACTATCAACACGATATATATATAAAAAAGAAGTCTTTTTGATGGCATCTAAAATAGTCCTCTTGTATTAGCAACAAACAGTGATATAATCTTTACTATGACGGCATACCGAAGCAAGACTTAATAAATTATTTGAACATGATAACTATAAAGTACCGAATTGATGGATAAAGTTTTACTAGCGGACTATATGTAAAATATAATAGATATTATATAGTTCGATAATTAAAACATTTATAAATCAGTTGTGACAGGATAGTGCATATTTCTGCCGCGGCTGCGTGGGCGCTCGGCCACTTGGTCACAGGAAGTCTGTATATTACCTTATTATATCCGACAAGAGGAGCATCCGTTGTGGGTAGGTATCATGCTTATCACGTGTACCGGCCTTCACCTTAGCTCTTGGCATTTTAGATAAATTATCGACAGTTATACAGGAATTATAAATATTAGGTTAAATTATACGACGTTCTGATCAATCCCGTCACTACAATCTTATTATACAATTATACACACACACACACATTATACAATTGTGTGATCCTAAATTCTAACTTTTCGTTAGGTAAGAAATATTGAGGTGATTATTTTATGCTTATGAAAACAGTGTTATCGTAACTTTTTAATAGTTTAAGATGATTTATGGATGTATTGCAACACATTATCTTGATAGATCATAATTTATCATCAATTGTGCTGCATCGTATAAGATAATATTTTTTATTTGATTTCATATTAAACCATACCTGAAAATCCACATAAATTCCTCATACTTAAACAGCCTTTTCTGTTTTGAATAAAATTGCAATGAATATTAGTATTTTATCAAGCAAAGGATTATGAGCATTTTCTCAACAAAACGCACTTTGGTATGAATAATTTTATACTACATACAATAAAATTAAAAACCTCTCCACTAGAACATAAATATAATATGAAGTCACTTATCACGAGGCAAATCGACCGAAAAATCGAAGTTAGATAGCAAAAGAAGAGGGGATTTGCTTCCAATGAAGGAATGACTGTCCCAAAAAAGCACTTTCATTAGAAATGTGAAATAATGATTAATTCTATCGTAAAAGGAATATTTATACAAATTCGAACACTTCAAATCATAATGTTTTTGTGTCGTTAGGTACTTCTTTCGTTCACCCAATTATAGTAATACATAGTTAATGGTCATAAAAAATAACTAAGTTTAAACTAATAGGTACATCTGAATTAGTCCTCATCTAGAAAAATTAGGTTTTATCGTATACAATTCTTTGACACATATTTATGGGAAAGCTTTTTAAAATATGAGAGTAAGATTGTATATCACATTTAAAATAAGCGAAATACATCATAACAGTGAATTAACGGCCTCCGAGGTCCAAATTTGGCACGTTACAATACTCGCTCATATATTTCGTTTAAAACAATTACACATTATTCTACGTCTTATTATTTAGACTTATAGCTGTCAAAATACTTTAACATCTGTTATTCTTTTTAATAGATTTATATTTTGATTTGTCAAACCATATGTACATAAAAGAAAGTTGTGTTAGTTATACTACTTAAAACTCAAGACCGGCTGTAGGAATATGGTTGAAAATCGGTGGGTAGCTTAGAACCAGGAGACGGACATAGAATTTTTAAATCTATTCGATCGAAAAAGAACAATTTAATAAATTTCAATATCTGGTTATTTACTGCCTCTATAGCGGAATACAACTCGTCCGGTCAGCTAAACATATGTATATTACTAATTCCGAAATTAAGGCAAACGAAGTCGCGGGCCGAAACTTTCAAAGCCTATTTGTATTATCGATTGTAATTATGAATACATGGCTTCCATATGAACTATGTAATATTATTTGATTTTTATAACATTTTAATTAACACGCTCAGCTTAAATTCGACCGAACTCACATTGTTTACTATTATCATTTCACTAACATAAAATATTCATATAATGCATTTAATGTATAATCCAAGTACAGACAGCGCCGTACCACAATAGGTACGGTATGATATAAATTAGGATGACAATGCAATAGGATTATGAACTTTATTATAATCATAATAAGGATTATAACCAGTTAGGTAGATGTAATGTATACATACGTGGTCTGTATTAACATAGAGGCATAAATTTAGCTGTGCTTCAAGTCAGCGCCGCTGTACAGTAGTTGAATAATAATCACATAAATCAGACTTGAATTAATTATTGTTCTTGTATCTTACATGTGTAAGGCTTGTTAGATGTTTATCTGCTGTTTTATTTCCATTTATTTCATATTTACTAAACTAAACAAGATTGGACAATAATTGGGGAGGGAAGAATTTTATTTAAAAAACGCTGTAGTAATTTGCATCGCTTATAGATTAACGTGTTCTTTTGAATTCACTAATGTTTATAATAACACTGTTTCATTATAGATAGATTTTTGTTACTAAATTGGTGCACTAATTAATGTTAAGTTCGGGAAATATTGATGGATACACGTTTTTTATGTAAAATTTTATTCACATCGTTTTACACGCATTGGTTTGTTTCGTAAAAAAATCATTATTTGTTATAAAACAGATATCCGCATCTTTCATTATTCATGAAAACTCCCAGGACGTATTTAAAATTAGCGTATTTCGTAAAATATGAATCAGATCAATAACACTTCAAGCAACAATAGGCCTTTGAAATCGCATTAAAATTCATTATTAATTACAAAATAAACTGTATCGGCATACCATATTGAGTACACATCGTTTTCCGAATCAATCATTATCTTACCTCGTATCATCACTTATTAATCGGCGTACGTCTTGCCATGCCGGCGGCTCACGTTCCCACCACACACTCCAAGTCTTGACTTTGATGAGTAAAAAAAAGAACAACAAACAAATCGATATATCTGTGCAGGCGAGCGTTCGCGGACAGGAAACTAGGATAATAGAGAAACCTCGTCCGGTGGTCGGAGATATCAGGGTGTGGTGGAGAGAGACCACGCCCTGGAGGAGGAGCAGAGGCTCGCGTGCGCGGGATTATCACCCCCTGGATGCGCTGTCTGATTCTTAACATCCAACAAAGCATCCGCGACTCCCTAACAGGTATCTCATGTATAGCTTACAACATACTATATTCGCGTCATATAATTTATGTTTCTAACGGAGAGTCAGATACTTACTCGTCAATAATTTTAATCGATTTTGAATTGAATCGATTTTATTTAGATTTTTCATGTTAAATTTTTTGTTTAAAGGAATTAAGAGTATTATCGGGTACATAATAGTAATGTTTGTGTAACAAAAGCGATTGGGAATTCCATTTATTTATAAGTTATATTAATACGTATTGTTATTATTATCACTTAATAAAACAGTATATGAATTAAGTAATTCCTTTGTTAAACTTATTTAAGTATTTTATATGCAATTATTTCTTTCTCACTTAAAAGGTGATTTTATTTTCGCTCCACATTTTTTATATTGCTCGCAAGCTCTTACATTGAAAATATTTTTTGGTAGCCGTTTTATGCTATAATAATTCTGTTTTTTACTACAGGTACATAATTAAATGGTTCTAGTTGGAATGGCTTAATCTTATAATAAATTTATAATCTATGTAGGTACATATGTGTTTTCAATCTATTAAAAGGGTAAAATTTTCACCATTGCTTTTTGGTGTTTCTATACCAAATTAGAGTATGGTCATTATTAAAATGTTTATTTTATTTTTAGTGCGTTATGAGTTATATCAATTTATAAGCTTTTTATTTTATTACAGAGTCATTTATATGTTTTCATAAACACTTAAATATATTATCAGTATATAATACGTATATAAATATATTAATTTTATAAACTTTCCTGGTTTATTTATATGTAATAACATTGATATAACAAAATCTAAAGGCAGTTTTTAAAAAGTTGTGAATTTTACTAAATATATATAAAATACAATAAGTTTGTAAATTATTATATCGTTATAATTTAAACAAAATTTGAAAATAAATATTGATGATAAAATTTACTATTATTCAGCGACAAGAAAATTTTTTTTTTTTTCAAATTATGTAAAAAACGAAAGTTTCAACAATTTCTGTCTTTAAAGTTTTGTCTTTTACGTAAACAAAATCTGTATTTTGTATTGAATTAGTGCGTTTGTATTAACTCTTTTCTTACTAGTAATATAATTCAACGATGATTATCGCATTAACATTTTCTTGTGCTCGCCAAGATTTACGTATCTAACAAGACAGGCCATTTAGCGAAGGCCTATTATGTGTAAGACTTACTCAAACTATTAGTACAATGATTTCATAAATTATTATTAATGTTAAACTTAAACATGCATTATATCGTTATTAACACACTAAGATAATGGAGTCGCTTACTTATTAATTTTGAAAGGTGTCTACTATTTTTGGTTGCATTAACCATATGTAAGATATTTCCAATTTAATGAGATCCCTGTTAAAGATTTTTAAAAATTCAGTCTATGTTCTTATTCAATCTCTCTAACTCCAAAAAAAAAAAAAACTCTTTAACTATATCGTTATAATTAAAATGATTCTCAATTTAATAGCAAGTGACCCAAATAAGGCTGTCTTAATAAGGCCTATTTTTTGAATTTCCCACTTCACGATTTCAAATGGCCTCCAATGTTTGTAGATGTGTACGTGTATATAAATTAACACCTACAAGGAAAGCAATTGACCCGTGCCGCGAGCGGGTTCGACCCTGCACTCGAAAACAACAACGACGCGGAGATCACGCTTGTTTTTATAAAATTCTAGCAGAGGAACCAGTAAGTTTTTTCATTTTTATTCGTACACGGTGTGCTGTGTTTTGTCTATAGGATAATTATACGTGTAGTCATCTCCTTATACAAGTGAAAAAGCTGTAATATCGGTGTATTCCATACAATTGTTGTTTTGTTTATCCATGTGCCATGCCCTAGTAAAGCCTATAAAAAATGTATAGGCCTTATAACGGCACTGGTACAGATCTTATTAGGACAATGTTTTATGTCACAGTAATATATTAAACCATTGTTTTAGTAACATCGGGGTTATTTTTCAAATGATACCCTGAATTAGCAAGTCGTAAAGCACAGATGATGAATATAGTATTTTTGTATGATGAGAAACTCGTTACATCTTATCTATAATAATTAAAAGTAATTAATGGGATCTCATTTGATTTAATATAAGTATTGATAACGTTTTGTATTCATTAAGATGTTGAATGTTTACTTGTTATTATTAAGGCCTGTGTCCTAAACACAGGGTTCCCAATAAGGCCTAAGTGATATTTTCTTTTTATTTTTTTATTTCTATTATCAAGTAACAATGACTCTTTTAAAAAATAATACATAGATTGTTAATAAAAAAATAATACATAAATTCTTAAAATATAATAATTAATTAATTAAGTTTTAGTTATTTGTGTTCACAAAAGTGTAATTTTTGTTCCTAAAGTAATTTTGTTTGATTTATTACAAAGTTTAATAAATTAATATAATTATTTCAAATTACCAGTGGATGGTTATTAAAAACCCGCTAGTTAGATAATAAAAAAATAAGATAGGTCTTATTTGGGTCACTTACCTTATAATAAAAAGAATATTGATGTTAGAAAACTTATTTAATAATTGATTTTGAGTTAAAATTTAATAAGATTTTAGATATATAAAGTCAATTTAATTATTCATACTAATGTTTAAAATAATAAATGGACACTCAACTTCTTAAAGACTTTGGATAACGTACTCTAAAGCTGATATAATGATATTACTAGGTCTGTCCGTCTGTCGCCAGATTTCATCTCATAAACTATGATGGCTAAACATTGAAAAGTTTTAACAAAATACTTATTTCTATGCGCTATAATAATAATAACTAAAATACGAACAAAATGTATATTTCAGGGATCTCTCACAATACGGATATGATTTATTACTGTTTTCATAGATAAGAGTACGGAACCCTTCCAGCGCTTGTCATATTCGCACTTGGCTGGATTTTTAATATTCAAACAGCTCAAGACTAATACTTAGAATAGTTTCGTTTACCTATAGTTTTTATGTTTATAAAAAGCGTTACCTATCGTTTATTATAAGGATATCCTAAAGAAAATTATTTTTTTCACATTGTTATTTTGACTATCTTTAAAATAGTTAGTCTTTAGGACGCATTTTTAACAGTCTAAGAATTTGTAAATACATCACTAAGTTTTAGTATTACTATGTGTAAAAGAAACTTACGATACGACTTTACTAACGGTGTCGAAGAAATGTCACAATCGTAACGACTTTTTGCATTACGCGATAGCTTTCACACAACTTTTTTGTCTGCAACAAGAAATTTTATCATCATATTCTTATATTCACATAAAAGATTTTTATGAAAAGCCATGAAAAATATTATCAAAGAAAAATAATATTTTGATGAGGTAATCTTGCAAGATTTTAGTTTTTGTCCGCGACTTTGTCCGCGTTATTTTCAGAACTAGTAATGCTATATGTATAGCTGACCGGGTGTACTCCATTGCGCCTTAGAACCCGTAATAAATCAGATGTAGGAATTTATTAAATTTTTTTTCTATCGATCAGTATTAAATATTCAATGTCCGTCTCCTGGTTCTAAGCTACCTCTCCACCATTTTTCAACCATATCCCTATTTCTTGAGTTATAAATCGTGTAACTAACACAACTTTATTTATACTCGCAAATTCACTATATTATGTGACCCTTCGTAGGGTGCTTTAAAAGTGAGATGAAAACCAAATTAAGAGCATACCAAATGCTTGTTAGAAGCTTCAGTTGATCTACAACTTTAAATTCAACTACAGTTTCAGTAACAGTTTCAGTTTACTTCGCTAATTTTTTAAATATCAAATGAATTCGAATGTTACTATTAGATTTACATCCTTTATATACTGCAATGTTCCCTAATAATATTGACTGTAAACTTTATATAATCAAGCTTAAGTGATGTCCTGAAATATATTTTTAGCATATTCTCAAGTTTGGATCTTAAAGAAAACCCATTAGTTTTGTAACATAATTATACATATATGTATATAATAATGACTTAATCTTATTAAACGTTTTCGTTCTCAACCGATACATTATTTATATATCATTACTTTTATTTCATGAAGTCTCTTATTAAAGTTTAATACCTACTGTAGTGTATACGTGGAAAAATAGATATCATCGTAAATTAATCCACAAAAGATTACTCTTTTGCGAAAACAAAAAAATGTATATAATGTTCTAATTTGTAGGTGAAATTGATTCAATGTTTCTTGTTACTGGATTAAATTTATGTGGATTTGAGTATAAGTTAGTGAAGGAAATAGATTTCAATTTTGTACATATGTAGTTACTATTTGACTTAGAAGAATTTATGTATACGTCGGATATACAAATAAAACTTTCCGAAAACTGTACTATTTATAAATTACTTAAATTATAAATAGTAACAAAAAAATAATGTTCTAAATATTAATCTTAAGTATTATAAATAATTAGCTTTAAGAAATTACAAAAATATAGCACTTTTAGTTTTTATTTTCCTATTATCTTATATATAAAATTCTCGTGTCGCGGTGTTAGACAGAGAACTCCTCTGGAACGGCTGGACCGATTTTCATGAAATTTTGTGAGCATATTGAGTTGGTCTGAGAATCAGCCAACATTTATTTTTCATACCCCTAAGTTATAAGGATTGTTCAAACTTAATTTTTAGTTTTTATTTTGGAACGAAATTTTTTGTTTTTATTTTTTTATAATGTAGCATTAAAATATACATACAACCGAAAAAATTTATTTTTTTATTACCAACCCTTATATTTTATATGGCGAAACAACGTTTGCCGGGTCAGCTAGTAAAAGTATATGAATGCTCTTTTCTGTGTTTTCGTTTAGATAGTAAGTTTTGTATTACTACTCACTTGATATATGCTAAACATATTTTATAATCATTTTTATACACAGGTTAATGGAGCAAAAAATACCCCTTAGCTCGGAAAAGAATCTCCTATATTAATGTATATTTACTTTGATTATAATTATTTTGTCATGAAAATTCCATCTCTAAACATTTATTTCATTATTTAGATTATTTTTTAAATGAATTAATTAATTTTGTACAAAAATTTGATAGAATTCGGTTGAGCATATTGATTTTTTTTACTTTTCATATGAAAACAAAACTACAATGTTATCTTCTAGTTCAAATCCAAGCGAAAGAGCTGAAAATTATGTCATAGTTATATTTGACGAAGAATATCTTTGTTTGTTCAAGCCTTTCTTCCCTGTATTATAAACGACACTGTGTTATAGAATTAGTACAACAACAATGCTCTCATTAGCAAGTAGAAAAATGAACAGTAAGAATTTTTTCTTCGTGAAATAAAATTCACTTGTAATGCATGTCTTCTCTTTAACATCTATACTAAAAGAATGTTCTATCAGGATAAGTAGTTTATAATAGAAGGTAAAATGAAAATCAGATATTACTTAAATTTCAAAAATAATAAGGGATAAGATAAACTTTGTTATTTAGTTTATGAAACAATAATGAACTGAAGCATAACTGTTTGTTTCTACACCACTTAGAAGAGCGTTTAATGTCCAATCTAAAAAAATTATTTCTGTATATAACTCCGTGGCTTGTCTTGTAGTATTGAAGATATGATCAATTTCGTAATTATTTTTTTATTTATTTGGTACGATTAAAACACCCAATATTTTATAATAAACGATTTATTTTATATAGTTAAAGTATGACATCTTTCATTAAATATAACAGTACACTGCGGATTTGTGTATTTTTATTAAAAACTCACATTCAAAATACAATCGCTCGCTTTCTTACGAAAAGCAAAAAGCAATTTCTAGGGTTCCAATCAAGCAATTGAAATTTAACTAAAAACCCAAGGTTTCCTATTTAATTATAATAAATTATAATTATAGACTCTCACTTGTTATTTTAATTAATGTCCAAAATATAAAATAACAGTTCAATACACTCTCGGTACAGGCGGTATTGTCTCAACTTCATCATTCATAGTCTTGTCAATAACTGGCCGATAGGTGATAGTGACTTTGCCAGTTTCATAGTCAACTGTAGACAAGCTATGTTTTCTCCAATGCTGGTCTATCGGCTTCGCGGTCTGGAAAACAATTTGATAAAATCTGTTATCTTTGTTAATAAAACAAGGATGCTAAGTTATTGTAAAGTAATTCTATGATAAGTCTATGTTTAGTGTATAAGCCTAGCGCTTACTTGTCCTTTAGTATCCTTGCTATAATCCATTTCGTCGAGTCGTTTAGGACAATCATCTCGAAAATGAGCTCCGCGACTTTCTTTACGATTAAGAGCGCAGGCTACAACTTGGACAGCGGTTTGTACCATATTTTGTAATTCTAAAGCTTCGATAAGATCTGAATTCCAGTTTTTCCTTTGATCCGTAACTCTAATTTCTTTGAAGAGCTTAAAACATTTTTGTATTTCTTCATTGGCTGTAATATATAAATATAATGAATTTTCATCGTATTTTTTTTGGTATCTTTGATATAGATTATAATGTATTTTTTATATAGATTATAATGTATCTTTAATATAGATCATCAAAGTTGATAATACCTTCGCTCAACAGTTTATTATCTCTGAACACTCCACACTTGTTCTGCATCGTGTGTCTCATTGATTCTCTAAGTTCATGTACCGCTACGCAACCATTACTGCCTTTAACGGTTTCAAAATTATCTAGAATCGCGTCACATATACCCTGTAAAAAAAATTGTAATAACACAATAACATGAAGATTCTCAAAATAATATTTCTATTGATTCACGGCTATAACGATATTAATATTGTAAATTAAATCTTATAATTTTCTACTAATGGCTTAATCTTACGTCTTTTAATTTAGGTTGGTTTGCCCCGGGTTTAGCAATCTTTGCTATGTTTAAACCAATAGATCTTCCAAATACGACGACGTCTAGGATCGAGTTCGCGCCCAATCTATTAGCTCCATGGCAATTACTAACTGCTTCACCCGCAGCATGTAAGCCGGGTATTACGTTATCCTTCCCATTTTGGTAGACTAAAGCCTGGATTTCAAAATATTATATGTATTGGATAAGAAACCAACAACTATATTTTTTATTCAGTGCTCAGCTCACCTCTCCTTTATAATTTATCGGTATACCCCCCATAGTATAATGTACTGTTGGTACAATAGGTACGGGTTGCGTGTATACATCAGCTCCCGTAAAAGTGTACGCGGTTTCCGAAATACCAGGTAGTTTCTCTCTTATTGTCTCTGCAGGGAGATGGTGAAGCTGAAGAAACACATGATCTTTCTTCGGGCCCACCCCTCTTCCTAAAAATACAAATTAATATTTGTAAACAATTTTCCTACTGAAATACGTATGTAATAAATTTTAACTTGAGCTACCTTCTTTTATTTCTGTTGCAATTGATCTTGAAACGACATCTCTGCTAGCCAGATCCTTGGCTTTAGGTGCATATTTCTCCATGAATCTCACTCCTTCGCTATTAACAATGTACCCACCTTCACCTCGGCAACCCTCCGTCATAAGACAGCCAGATCCATACATTCCTTCAAAATATTATTCATGTAGCCTAAGATCAATTAAAATTAATGAAGATTATGATTAAATCATTACCAGTGGGGTGGAATTGTATAAACTCTAAATCTTGAAGAGGAAAGCCAGCTCTTCCAGCCATAGCACAACCGTCACCTGTGCAGGTGTGGGCAGCGGTACAAGAAAAGTACATCCGAGGGTATCCTCCCGTGCAAACTACTGTATTCAGAGCTTGGAAACTGAAACATTAAATGTTTTTGCTGAGACTATTTACATTCTTATTATTCAAAGTGACAACAGAAATTCACTAACCAATGAAGACTGCTGTCATCCATGTCCAAAGCTAAAGCTCCAACGCATGCACCGTCTTGCATGAGAATATCAAGTACGAAGAATTCAGTGAAAAAATCAACGTTTTTAAACTTTGTGCTATAGCCATATAAAGTGTGCAACAGCGCATGACCAGTTCTACAAAAATCGTAATATTTTAAAAATGTAAAATCTTATATTTTACGAGTTTATCACATCATTCGTTTGCGAGTAAATTCACTAAAAGTTTCTTAGTACAGTGACCGGTAATGCAAAATAGTAATGGAAAGTCTGATTTGAAATAAGAAAAAAATAATTCAATATAATTAAAAGGTCGGTCACTAGTCATTTTATGAATATTTCTTTTAAATCACATCTCGTCTGCACGTGATCACGGTTGCTGTAAAGTAACCGAAACGTCTGGAGTATGTAGTTTATAACCAAAAATAAAAATCGCGTAGTGAATTCGGAAATATTAGTTTCATTTAAATGAATACTCGCGAAAGTCTTAGCTCTCATTGTGAATATTTCTTGATTAAAATTGTTAGGCAAATACATACATTCACATATGTATGTAACAATTTTTTTACACGCAATCATCAGATACCTTTTATTTGTTTTCAAACCATGATTAATATTAAGACGCAATCCGTCACATTCCTAGTTTATTTCTGAAAACCAAACGGTACAAATACGTAGGTATTTCTTACAATTCAATTGTCATGGAATATTATTGTATCAAAATACAAATAGTTGTTACTTTTATCAGTAACTTTTAAGAAGTTTTGTTCATTTTAAGCTTTGCTAGTTATCATTATTACATCAAGACATTTAAAGGTTCTTAGTATTTGAAATTTACTCCCATCTGTACACAATATATTAAAACGTTTGGCTCCCAAACTCCCTACTAATTTAACTCTCAACAAAAAAGTATGCTCTAGATTCAATAGATGGCTCTGAAATGAATTTCGTCGTTATAAAATGTTCATTTTCGATATGATCCGAGTTGCAATGAGAAGACCAGGATCCGTTAATACTTTTAGTTTTGACGGTAGATGGTATTAAAACCAAATTATCTATTTTAGACGTCTAGTGACCATGACATCTATTTTCTAAAATTATCTTGGAATTCAAATGTTACTTTTACATGTGGAAGTATTTTAATATTGCTATTATTCAATACTAAAGCAAAAAAACATTGGAAAATTCTTTATAATATTTACCGATCGGCAACAGCACAAGTTCTTTTTGCAATTTTTTTCCCTCTCTCAATAGTACCACCGCCAAACGATCTCTGATATATCTTTCCCTCTTTTGTCCTCGAGAATGGCATCCCCATATTTTCTAACTCATACACACAGTGGGGTGCGTTGCGAGTTAAGTAATGAATTGAATCCTAAAATGACGTTATGTTTTCGACTATTGAATAATGATGAATATTTATATTAAAGTTAATGAAACATTAAAAAAAAAACATCAGAATAACAATTTGTCTTGGAATTCCATAAAATTCCTACGGGAACATTTTGTACGAAACACAAACCCTAGATGGCGCTACCAGTCGGTTACAACGAATATTGTACCTAAGTTGCTCGATACATTTTCCTCTGAATACAATTTTGATATTCAGGTAAAGCTTGGTTACACAAGAAATGTGTTTTATCAATTTAACATACCATAAATAATAAAATATCAAACATACATTTCGGTACCTCCCACGTAAGTTGTTGTATGCCACAAAAATGCTATTTTGCTTTTTTTAATGAAAAATATCCAATTATCAATCATTACATCCATTCAAATTAAAAAAAACAACAAAAACACTATTGTTAAAGGATTTGTCAGACGCATAATGTTGTAATTTTCAAACGCGAACGGATTAAGCTGATGTATATGCCTATGCAATTGTTTACGCGGGGCGCGAAGTGGGTAAAATCACGGCGTCACGCCGCGTATTGGTTATATACAACAGAGGAAGACTTATGTTTTTCAACGTATACAGTTGTAACTATCATATTCCACAACTGATGCTACCTGGACGCCGCGGTATAATGTTGTAAGTATCAGATATAACGTCTTTTTTATCTTCCACTCCGGAGTAAAATGTCGTATGAACAATATAACACCAATATCTCCGCAAAATTAAAATATCATTTAACGTAGTTAAGAAGACTATTATGTTAAATTAAAACACGAAATTTTAAAAAGATGCATCACAAAATTCAGATTTTGGTTTAATTTGAATCTTTAAAACGCTCTACTGTAAAATTACACTTTTGGAGATACAACAACTTACGTGGGAGGTATCGATTTGTATATCATGACTATTTTGAGTTTTAAAAAATATCTAATTTATCTACTAAAGCGGTATAGCAACGTCACTATAGATTTTGGAAATACATTAAAGAAACAATAATAATGTATACAACCTAGTTATAACTAGCTCTATTATTACCTTTCAACGAAGTTGCGAAGTTTGATAAGAAAATATATGTATAATTACCATAGATGAAAATGTTTACGAGTATATTTTTCTTACCTGATCTCCAAGCCAATCCGAACCTTTAACTGTATCATAGAAATGATAACGCCAATCATCGGCGTGCATACTTCCTATTTTTATGAAAAAACAACATTAGAGACCATATAAAGATTAACAAAATCTTTCGTACTTCTATGGTTGCAAGCGTTCAATGAAACAAAATTACCGATAGCCGCGTTCATGCCGCCTTGAGCAGCGATAGTATGTGATCGAGTGGGGAACAGTTTGCTAACGACGGCCACTGAAAACTTTGCGTCTCCAAGTCCTATGGCGCTTCTAAGACCGGCACCTCCAGCCCCAAGAACCAAGCAATCATGCTTGTGGTATTTTATGGTATACGCTTTCGTCCGCTTAGGTACTGAACGGGAAATTAAGACTTTTAGATTAAATTAATTTTTATCAACAAAATCTCAGTTGATACGCACCATTGATAAGGCCTTTGTGACTCCTTTTTAGACCGCCTTTAAGCTAAAATACCATTTACCGTTAGTCAAATTAAGAAATATAGATGGAAATTAAGTTATAATATATATTGCACTTACAGATGCCAAAAGCATCTTTGTATCGTAAAATCGAAACAAAATAATATTTTACTAAAATCGTCAAATCAATTATTTAATTCTTGTCTTAGTAAAATTTCTTAAAAGTCAACAAAATGTATGTCCAATCTCGACAAAATGACACGTTGGAAGGTTTGTTTTTTAAATTAAATAATATAAAAATGTTATATTCAACCAGTTTGATAATAACTCTTCAAAATTCCATTCCGTTAAGGATTTAACATAAAATGCATCAAACATTTTAGTGGAAAATATACAGATTATCCCTCTTGAAATATGATCCACGCTCGCGCACGGGCGTTTTATTATAATTGAAACATTTCTTTGTATAGATATATGAAATTTATTTCATCGTATTAAAATACTAGTATGTACCCGTGGCTATCGCCTACCTTAATTTATACATTAATCCTATATTGCTCATAGTCATAGTTTTCCTAACCTAATAAACAAGACTAGCTAACGCCCGCATGTTCCGTTACGTTTTTAAAGTATCTCATATACACTTATTAGTATCGTCGTTTCTGAAATTATATAAAATTAACAGATTGTAATCTTTTAATATAAGGTCCAATAGTTTTGTTGCTCTCTTTTTTATTCCCTGCTTTTTGATGTTATGATACGTGCGCCACAAAGTTACGCGTTTATATTCGTAACTACTACTAGGTATAGACCTCTAACATTTTATTGATGTATGTATAAACAAACATACATATTGAAGTTAAACTCAACATTTGCTCTCAAAACATTCATCCGAACGTTTTATTATAAATGTTTTAATACCACTTATGAAATATGAAATTTCCAGAGTATTTTGTTAATCTCTCACTAATAGCCTGTACTCATATATCTCACAAAACCGCGTAGGTGGTACGTCCATATAATATGTATGTAGAGAAAAACAAAGTCAATTCTAAGAAACTTAAGTTGCTTAAATAACAAGGAGCCTTCAACAAAAATGTAGGTACGTACAGTTTAACAACGTAAAAGTTTTTGATTGCACCTTTTTAACTATAAGTATTGAAAATGGTACAATAGGTACATTGTATAGCAAGAACAATAGCTTCATAAAGCCTTTTACCTTATATTATTTATTTAACATTGTTTTATGAATGAAATTAACAAAAAATATTTCAAGATGTTAATGTAATGCAACGATTACATTCAAACAAATTCTAACTCTTATTCCTGTTTTAATTGTGGTATTATTTATTAAAGTTACTACGAAATAAGTTGAAACTTATATGCCCGTCGACATCGCCGCAAATATGTCCACTGTCAATTGAGTGCACGTTTTTCGCCGGATCTGTTCTGGGAAATGATCTGATGTCAAAATTCCAACTTTCAGTGAGTTAAAATTCCAATTTTAATTAATTTTGATATGATTAATTTTTGTGAATAGATTGTAACCGCGATGTATTGTTGTTTCAATGAAAATATAATTTGCATGTTTTAATGATTTTCAAAACCATATAAGTGCGTGAAGCATTTAGGTATTATTTTTTTTTGGAATTATTGGAATATATTAAAATGGTTACAAGTATTCTATGTGGTGCTTGTCATTCTTGAGGAGTTTTATGTATGTGTATTGAATTCGTTCTGTATCGGTGTCATCGTCCGGATTTGTTTTACCCCTAGTGATTGTGTTACGAGTATAGTGACGTCATGAATAGAGGGGTGCGGTTGTAGGCGCATGCGTTTTAAACTTGCTCGTGTAATTAGGGTAGCAACTGCAAGACGCTTTTCTAAAGTAGAACATTTTTAGCTGTCGAAAAAAATAACCGCTTTTGACGCGACCTTAAAATCATTAATTTAGGCCATACGTGAAATAATAGTTCATAACATCACTTACCATTTATAGGGCTATCGCTTATAATTCATCAGATTTAATAAAATAAATTTTGGTAAATGTTATACAACAGGTAACTATGTTAGTATATAAGTATATTTACGTTATAAGTTTTGTTGTGACTTAAGTTTCATGAAGTGTTCACAGGTTAGTTATCTTCTAGCTAGTGTCAAAGAAACTGTTATGTGAGTGTGTGATATGTTTTGTGACTTATTATTAAAAGGTTTTATAAGTTTTGCACAGAACGGGCACCATGAGGGATAAAAGTCTGCTAAAGTCAGCTAAAGTCTGCTAAAGGTAAGTCATAACCTCAATTCCAATCATGTATCCTATCGATTACAGTGCGACGTGTGCTTACTTTGCTACGCGATCGATATGTATTAAGTAGTTGTACCTAACATTAATATACACATGATATGCAATTATATTTTATTTTACACATTTCTTCACCAAATATTATTTTTTAGGTAAAAAGATAGATTAATAGTATCTATGCACACTGCAGTTTTTTTTATATAACATCAATATTTGACATTTATAACGATATAATGCATTGAGCGATGACTAGCTGTGTTTCAACCATTGTCACTACTTGTTAAATTTCGTCCCTTAATAACAAAGAAATGATTTTAATATAGACAACGAGATTTAAATTGGTTTTTATTCATATAACTAAAAGCGACTGTTATATATTAATATATATGTACATATTTATGTATAAATGTATATTGTATTTCTAAATAATTAGTACATATTTAATGCACTGCGATAATATATACCTTAATTTTGTCATATATATATATACATAGATACGTATGCTGGGTCAGCTAGTATATATATATAGTGACCCATATATATATACTAGCTGACCCAGCAAACGTTGTTTCGTTGTATTGCCATATAAAAAGTAAAATGTACTTTTTTATGGTACATTATAAAAAAATATCGTCCGAAAAATAAGGGTGAATAACCTTTATGACGTAGGGGTATGAAAAACAGATGTTGCCCGATTCTCAGACCTACTCAATATGCTCACAAAGTTTCATCAAAATCGGTGCAGCCGTTTCGCAGGAGTTCTCTGTCTAACACCGCGACTCGAGAATTTTGTATATAAGATAAATGTATATGTGTGTGTGTGATGGTGTCTATGTGTTATCATTTGTACATCGTTTTCAATAAATAACATTAGGGATGAATTATAAAAGTTGCTTTATAGTCATTATTAATTATAAATTACATAACATGTCCATACAAATGAAAAACAAAATACTACTCCGAAATCATAATCTGCTTTGAGCTCAAAGCGTAGAAGGCTACATATTTCATATCACAATGGAAATTAAATAAAAACGCACACACGTAGGTATGAAGAGATGAGTAGCACGTGAAATTTCAGAGGTCTATTGTTTCGTCCTCTTTGATGATTTATAATGGATATTGGAATTCAAATATTGATGACATTTCCTGTCAAACGTATACGACGAACCACGACTTTCAAAATGAAATTGCGTGTGTATACTTACAAATATTTCATAAATAGATCTGACAGTTCTTTTGAAGCTCTACATTCAATGAATTCCAGCTTTGTCAAATCCGTTTTTACTCGGAAGCCCTGCCCACGGTTATTCCCCGAAATTTTCACCATAGTCAACATTTCTAGAAACGTCAATAAATTATCAAAGAGATAAATATTTTCATAACCTTTGAAAATGTTTTTACTCATTATTCAAAACATTAGAATCTAATTAGGCTAAAATATTAAATGTAATAATATATTTAACCTTAGCTCATAGTATTTTGTTAATCCAAATTTGCAAAAATAAAAAATTAAGAAAAAGTAGTAACTTATTCTAGGAAGGTAATTCTTTACCACAACTGGACGTTCATTGATTTTTATGGCGATAAAATTTGTTGCCACTTTTAACAAGATGACTTAGTTTCGTGTTGTAGATTTTTTGTTACCGCCACTGTGATGTTATTTAATTGTTTCCAAATTTAATCTTTAATACAATCTTTGTGTTTTCAACTAGCTTTGTAGAGATATATACGTTCTTATTTCATACATCTTGCAAATAAATGCAGATTTTGTTTCTTTTTCTTCTATTATTTCTAAAACTTATCTTTCTTTATAGTTCTTTTGAACGTATTCAGGCGATCAATTCTTAAATTTGTCTCTCCAGTGAACAATGAATATTGTAAACCACGAATACAAATCCCGAAATCCGTCTTAGGAGTATAGGCTATAAAATTTTAAAGTTTGCTAAGTGTTCCGTCTTTTATAATATTAAAAGCCTACGCTTTCTTTAATATTAAATTGGCAATATAAACTTTATTCTTGCTGTAAAGCTTTTCGTTCCCGGAACCGTAACTTTTTATTCCATCAAAAATTTTCCACAGAATTATGTTTTCTTAAAAGAAATTATGATTATGAAACTATGTATCTCGGATAATAGTATCATATAAATTAGTACAAGCCGAAAAGATTAGATATTATTATATGCTATGATAAAAAAATCATGTTTTTTTTTCATTACAATATGTCTATCGGATTAAATGGTTATCGGCAAAATCCTTTGTGCGCCTCTCGTAGTTTCATTTTTCTGTATTGCTTTTAACAAATGAAATGTATTAAATTCAAAATATAAACGATATATATTTAAATAAAATAATAATTTCAATGTTTAAATTTGTTAACGCAATTGTTGCAATACGGATTTAAAAAATAGTAATTGAGTTACGCAAAAATGTTACAAATATAAGCAAAGTTTTCATGGAATGTTTTTACTTGTTGAAAACATCACAATACAGGGAAAGATAAAGAAAAATCAATAGCACCGTTTTTTTTAAGTTTTATTACAAGTACAGTTATGTGTTACTTAATATAATAATCTTAAATAATATAAACTTAATTTTATTGCAAAATTACCTTAAACTATTTCTTAAGGTGCAGCTTTTCTCCAACGCCGTCGAGAGAGCACTGACGCACATACAGGAATACTAGAATTGCGATGCGGATTTAAATTCCGCGAATTGAAACATCCAAAGAAACCTTGAACTTTTTATATGGAAATAATTATGACGCTTTATTTTTCATAGATACGATGTTAACAAATAAAATATACAAAACGATGAAAATTCATTTAATAAAAGTGTTAAATAAATAGTTGGACTAAATATCACTGATTGTTTTCTAACTTTGACCTTTGAAATTAAAGAGACTCGTCACGTAATCTTGACAACGGCTTTTCCATAATCATTCATCTTAAAATTGCTTTCTTACACTGTACATACTTATATATAAAAAAAAGAAGAATATGAACATAAACTTGAAACTTTTGAAACATCTTATTGACCTTATGATTTTGAGAGTACTCCTCCTTTTTTCTATGTTATGGCTTAAAAATACTGTTTACTGTGCAACTTTTAATTAACTGTCAGTTGTTGGACAGGTGTCAGTAGCAAGTAAATATATATTGGCGGCGATTGGTTGTAAGTTTGAAATTCAGGATTTTATCATTGAAATTATATATTATTTGACTTGATAGCAAAAAAGTTACGTTTATGATAGAATTAATATAATTTTAAGTGGTGTAAACAAAATTACCTGGTAACTTATTAAAACGACTTTAGTGATTTCGCTTTAGTTAAAGTTTCAAGAATTTCTTTTGCAACTTTGTTGTGATACATTTTATATTATACACAATTGAATAAAAGACATGTAAACAAATACTAAGTGTACGTTGTAATCCCCGGGATGACATCCGTACGCTTACGCAAGTTTACAATGTCAGACTAAATAGAGACAATTAGCTACGTTTATGCCATCATATACCCATATATGTATATATATGTATGTATATAATAGAAAGTCGTGTTAGTTACATTACTTTTAACTCAAGAATTTATGGGTAGATAGCTTAGAATCAGGAGACAGACTTTGGATATTTAATTCTGTTCGATGGAATAAAAACAAAAAATTAATAAATTATTATATATTAACTTTATAATTTACGGCCCCTAGGGCGGAATAGACTTCGTTCGGTCAGCTATAGGTACGAGTATATTACTTATTTCGAAATTCGTCGCGGGCAAAATGTAAAACTGTAAAACTGTAAAACTGTGTGTTTAATTTATTAGTGGAAAAGTCAGGATTACAATACTTATACGTAATTTTTACAAGTAATCTTATGAGTAATCTACGAAATTTATAATAATTAATAAAAAATAGGAATTTTCTTTAAATTTACATCACAAAAAATATAATATTATTTTTGATTAGTTCACGCGTTATGGTTTGAGAAAAGAAATATATATATGTAAGATTATAGCAAAAACACGTTTTAGTCTTTAGGACATAAAACTTTCATATCATCTACACGTGATCGAAACGCCGTGTAAAATGTAATAAGTAAATCCCCTAGTACAACGAAAAGCAGTGGTTCTATTTAAATATTTGAAAACTCTTCCTGCGTCATTAAGCTTAGCTTAGCTTAGCTAATGGATAGATGCATTATTCACGTATTTTATAATTATTGTCTCCGTTTTTCCAGTATTACGGATTTAAAGGATTAGCTGAGACTAGAAATACTGTTTGATGCACAAAACATCATTAAATGTTATACATATTTTATAGATTCGACTACGATTTGAATATGTCTTTTAAATATTTTGTTAAATTATTGTCTACTAGTTTTTGCCCGCGACTTCGTCCGCGTTAGTTTGGTCAAGAGTAATATGTAGGTATAGCTGACCAGGCGAACTCTATTCCGTCTTAGAGGCCATAAATAATCAGGTTTTTCCTGTTTCTATCAAACAGAATGATTGACATATTAGTTAGTTGTCACTTGTCAAATCTAATGTCAAAAAAACGTTTGTATGGGAAATAGAAAAGGGCTGTTTATAGGGTTTGCCCGGCAATTATTCCAATTTTTCTCACCTTTTATACCTTCCCTGAACCTCCACGAACATTTCAAGACTAAGATAAGATAAATCCGTTCAGCTGTTCTCGAGTTTTAGCGAGACTAAGGAACAGCAATCCATTTTTATATATATAGAAGAAGAAGATAGAAGATTGTCAACATTTTCATTTTGTTGGACTTAAACAATAATCTAAGATATCAATATATTGAAATGTATACACAAATTACGTTAAATTAAGCGTTACACTGATAAAAAACATGGAAATACTATTATTGTTATTTAGTTTCTGCTTTCATTAGAGCTAGGGTTATTATCTCAATTTATATTAATATTTTACGAATTATGAAAATATAAAATTTGCAATTAGTTGCAAAAATATTTTTTATATCGTTTAAGTGATTTACTTTTTTTGTTAAAAATGTTGTCGGCCCTAATTTGAAAATACTTTGAACTGCATAATGAGACCTAGAGTCAATTATAGACATTTCATTTCTCCAAAGACTGACCGTCTTCAAAGGCATAAGATTGCAATTTTCTTTATAAATTGACTTTTACAGTGTAAAGACGTTTGAAAAGCTTTGACGAATGACGATTGAAAAGAATTTACTACGAATTTAGAGATTGCATTTCAAATCAATAATTAAGTAGAAATTTTTATATTCTATGAATATAATTTACTTGAATATAATAATAAAACTAATTTGTATGATAAGTGACTTCTATTTTCGTTACTTTACAAGTATACAATACATAAATACCAAAATCTTAATATAATTTGTGATAACAAGATTTTTAAATTGTCACCGTACAAAACTTTATTATTTCGGTAGAAAACACTGTTTTCTTAGTTGTAATTCTTATACATTCATGTACACATATTAATATATATTGGTTGTTAAAATTTTAATATAACTGCAAAGTATTCTACCTTTACCAGTAATTAAAATAAAACATGTTGTCTTTAACTTTTTAATCTGTCCATGATAATGAAGTCATTTAATCATATCTATACATTTTAGATAAATTTAAACCCATAGAAATTTGAAATAGCTCTGAATATATTTAATTTTATTTAAGTTCGTAATAACTATGATCTACAAAATATAATAGAAGCTGTATATTGTCCTTATGACAGAAAACGTTGCGACGTCGCTATTTCTAAATTCTCATCATGCTTGAAAACGTCCAAAAGAAGCAACTGAACATAAGATTTTCATCACAATAGTTTGTGTTCTTAAAGTGTTTAAGTTTGTCTTCCCTTGAAACACCTAATTTTAAAACGCAGATTTCTCTACCAATCTCATTCTGAGTTGTTTATTAGACGATACGACTTATTAAAGCAATTAAGCTTGAATGATTTGACAGCCTGTAAAATTCTAGAGTTATATATGCACTCGTTACAATTTAAACGTTTATGGTTTATGAAACAAATTAGGCACACTTAATTCATGATTGAATTGTTTTCTCTTCAATTTTTCAAGAAAATTTTTAAAGTACATTGCACTAATGAATTTAATACAAAGTAAAATTTTCGTATTACATTAAATGAAATAAAACTCGATTCAACGATTAAAGAATTTTTAATGGGAGTTTTTATATAACGTTTATTAAAAATATACATAATATTGAATCCAATTTACAGAACTTCATTTAGAACTTATAATTTTAGGGCAAAAAATGTAAGTGAATATTTAAATAAAAGTTATTTTAAATGAACTATCAAAAAGCAAAAAAAATGATATTGCATTCACATAACTATATGAAAAAAAAAATGTAAACTTATAAAATATGACCATAGTAATTAGTGGATAATTTGAGAAATACCAAGTTGAGATTATTAAATTATGGAGAAAAGCAATGTTAAAACAGCTGTAGCAACGAAACTCTTATTAGCTGAATCATAGACTTCTTTGATTGACAACCATTTACCAGCGTTCCACATCACGAAACGGATACCGTTGAAGTAATGATAGACAAACGGCGCACCTAACATTATCTTAATAATAATAACCATGGGTAAAGAAAAGTCGAAACTCTGGATGATAGACACATATGTCTCGACACCGTTGGACATGAACAGACTTCCAGATGATAAGAGAAGAGTGTAAGACGTTATGATCATACCTGAAAATAAAATTAGACATTTTAACTGTATTAACAATAATATTGCTTACAAAATATGCTATTTTCGGTTGATTTAAAAGTGTCTACACAAAGGTCAAGTGTATAGAATCTCTCATTTTAAAATATATACTATCTATTGACTTTTGTTAATAAACAATACTTGGAAAAACTAAATTTATTTATTATATTCCATTTCAATGCAAAGTAACAATAAAAGGAATAATTGTATTCAACAGGACGACTTATAATACTATTATCAAATTGCGGCATACAGAACAAAGAAAGTGTTTAAAGCAAAAAACCTGTAATGCGTTGAACGATGGATGTCATAGCGGGTAGGGTGGGAGCGAAAATCGTTAGATGCGGAGACATAGGGCGGTTTAAGCTCATATTTTTAAAATCATGGCACGTTGGTGGCGGCGCGGTGTAAGGTTGATACGTTATCTTATGTTTGGCGCCCTTTCCCGGAGTTGATCCTTTGGCAGCCCCTGGCCCTGAACTTGGTGGAGGACAAATACCTTTATATCTAAGAAAATTGCAACCCACAATCGATGACTGCGGCCCGAAAAGCGACCTGTAATGATAAATGAAAATGAAATGCTAAGTGCAATTTTTTTTACATCATTACTTTATACTATACGTCTCTAAGCCTAATGGTCTGCAATTTAACGTGAGCTCTGAATGCATTGTGTTAAATTACTATGAAACAGGAACGATCAAAATTATTCTGTAATAAAATTACTACATTCTAATGTTTTTCTACAAATTATGTCATATGTGTATGTGGGTAAAGTAAAAACTTACGAAGCAGTATTCTCATTTAATTCTAAATGATGGAAACTGTTGTTCTTTTTCTCATTTTAATTCTTATGACATTATCATTCTAATAATTTAAGTTTCCAGGAATTAATATACCTTTTTGTTGGCAATTTTAAACTTACGGCAGTTAATTTGATGCTTTTAACTACTTATGAATGTTTTATTTTCCTGATTTTGGTGAGTGTATCTCAGTATTTTTATACGATTCTTAATAATTTTTAACATAATTTTATGAAGCAATTTCGTGGTTTTTATTAAGAGAGAGAAAAATGAATTGCGTTTACTTAGTCATAAGTTTTACTATACCTTTCATGCTTTTTAATTGATGGGATAAAATGTATATTTCATATGTACGAGTATGTTGACTACATGTATAATTTATTTATATAATAAAAAAATAAAGCGAATTTTAGTAATTTTCACATTTTATAATGTCTATAAACGCAAAATGAATTCAAACTCAGATTAGAAAAGGAATCCATATCACATCTCCGATTCTATTTCTCATAAATGGAAAACTTTGCAAGTGCAGTATTTTCTAAGGCTTGTTTGTTTGTATTCTCCGCATTTAGTTGAATCACAACATTATTATCTTTAATTGTATGAGTGAGTATAATAATAACCTAGTTATTGGTGAAACCTGTGAGAAATTAATTTGAAGCATTAATTAACATGGAATAGCAGCATATCGACAGGAGCTACTAATTGGATTTGAGGATAATAACAGCAAATAAACCAACTAGCAGCATAATTTTGTAGGTGGCAATATGAGACACCGTTAATAGTTCTGATAGCTAACAAAATATTATTTGCTGCATTCAGAATTTCGTTCACCATAAAATTATATCAGCAATCTGGCCGCCAATTTTGTTTGTTATAATTTGAGAAACGAGAATGTTCAAGTTTCAAAAGGTGAACTTGAAATGTTATATGGTATATATATATTAAAGGTGAACTTGAAATATTCAACAGAGCGAATGGGACAAATGTAATATTTTTTTTTTTTTTTTTTTTTTTTTTTTTTTTTTTTTTTTTTTTTAATCTTTATTTAAGGACTTGTTTACAAAAGAGAAACATGTCGTCCTGTTTGGACAACTTACATAAAATGTAATATTTAAAAAATAGAAGTCACATAAATAAAAAAGCCTCAATATTACAATGGCTAACCACTAAAAATTTAGAGAACAAAAATGTGTATTTGCTCTTAAACATTAAGTTAATATTTTTACTTTATTAAGTTACCATTCCGAAAACTGTCAAACTTGTAATTTTAAAGTCAATGTTTTAATAATCAAACTATTACAAACGGGGCTGTTCGAGTATATATTTATAGTATTGATCAAAAAGTTCTCCTTGGAGAACTTATTTGATAGAGACATTAGATGTCAATGCTAATTGGTCAACATATTTAAACACGAAATTTCTCCCTAAATGAAAGTTCGACATGCACGCAGACCGAATTGTGGATTTAAATTAATAATAATATTTCAGAGGATGTAATCATAAAATTTTAAAAAGCCTTTAACTCAATAACAGTAATTAAACCCCCTAATCTCAAGTAAATATAATCAAAACTTCGAAAGTTTTCGAAGCAGCTTAACAGAAAAAATCTTACCTCTTTAAGTGACACTGCGATATAAAAAAATTGCTCTTACCTGTTTCTATTCAATAATCTCGTAAAACTCGATGTTTCTTTGCAACAATGATATTTTATTACTAAATTTAACATTTTTGATCATTTATAAATTCACAACAAAAGCTTAACGTCAATTTTAAATAATCGTCAAATTTTATAGAACACGATTTGAGACATTGACAGCAAAGAGATATAAAATGTTTCCTTAAAAAAAAACAATGATATATTTTGTCACATGTAGTCATTTACTCGGCTCTATCTTATAAATACATATTTAAGTGCACCATGACTTCAATTGATCTTCGAATTAATGTCTAATAACAAACGCTTTTTAGACTTACATCCATCATTATTTAATTATATATAGGCGTAAATCTGTTTGTCCTATCCCACCTAGTAAAACCAAATTTAAGAAAACACAATACAATTATCAATCGTCCTATCTTTATAATAAACTAAACAGTAGGCTTGACTTCTACAGACTGACAAAGACCAAAGTAAAGCGTGTTCTAACTGAAACAATACTCACGTATAATTATGATGAAACTGAAAAATTGATAATTAATCTAAACCTTTCACAATTATAAATAAATTTATACATGATTAAGCGCACGCACGCACACACACAGACACGGACACACATACACACACATACACACAGAAGCGCACACACACACACACATACACGCACACACACACGCGTACACACACACACACACACACACACGCACACACACACTTTTCTAGTTATTTTATAAAATTGTTGACACTGCTTAATAGGATATTATTATAAATCTGTGTAACAAAATCATTGTTGAGTTTCTAGTTGTCATGGTGGATGAGCGGGGCACCCAGTAATACGGGTTTGCACCTAGTACAGGGGCCCTTGCAACTTGATTGTTAGCTAATCCTTGAGTCAATAAAGTTTATTTTTATTTTTTATTTTTCATATTCTCATACATTTTAATTGCCTTAGCTTAGACATTGAAAGAATTTGATGATATTTTTTTAACCTTGATGTTAAATTAAGACGATATCAATCTCCTTAGGGTCAGTCAATCAGTGAAACCTAGAAATAAATAAAACCTAAGGTAAATTGAATCATTGAAATATATATATTTTTTTATTTACCAGTATAAACTTTTATAATTGATTAAAGAAAGGAAATGTTTTAGCGTAATGAAATACAATTATGTGCATATCTATATGTAAATTATATATATATATATATATATATATATATATATATATATATATATATATATATATATATATATATATATATATATATATATATATATATATATATATATATATATATATATATATATACAAGTAAACATATCTATCTATGTATGTATATTTACATTTATACATGCCATCGTTGCAGATCTTAAAGTGTAAATTGCAATTCCCTTTGTACACACGGAAAACATAATATATGCATAGATTCTTTCAGGCCTTGATATGAGTATCCTTTTATATAAACCTCAAAGTGTTCCAATATTGTGATTAAATTTGTATTGACAAGTCCTCATTGCAAGCATCGCAAGGCAAATTCTATGGCGATTTAAAAGTTACATGTTTCATTCAAATAATTAAATATGACAAAGATAATTGTTACACTTACAAGTACACAAGCTTAATGCTCTAAGTGATAAATTTAATATTAAAGCTTTAGCGATGTCTGTAAGCCCCAATAAGTTGCGAAAGGTTAGTCTAATTAACGTCTGTGTAAGCCATCGATAATTATTTTGTATATTTCTATATACGTAATTTATGTAAACTTTGCCTTGTTTTTAATGCGAGAGGATATTTTATTAAATATTAATAAATTCAATAACTCATAATCACTCCTAACTCAACACAGTCTTCATAAAACATTATAATATAATGCGCATTTGTTTGAATTAAATGATAATATAAATAGACGGTGAAATTTATATTTCTACTTACTTCGCAATCCCGCTTCCTCTTCTTACATGAAGCCTTCAGTGCTTTTGACGACTCGCTTTTTGTTATGGATATGAGACTTATGTCTATCACTTTTGTCACTTTGAATTGTCGTACATTCAATGCGACTGATTCTAAACGACAACTTGGTAATACTTTAAATAAATAGTTTTTTGATAAGAAGATTTACAATTCTATAAATTTAGACGAAAAACATTGAGATCTCACAACATCGTAGACAACCTTTTTGTAATTATATAAGAAATAAATTCTTTCAAAGGAAAAATTTCCATTTGAAATTGCACGTATTACTCAGTACATAAATAGGTTTTACGTCCATTCCCTTGCCTCGATTTTCCAATTAAATTTATCAGTACCCAAGTTCGATCTCGACTTTATCCGCTTGGGATTGTTATTTTTAATTATTTATATTTAAAAAATACCTGAGTAAGATATTCCATATTGTTTTGTCTATCTTCTAAAGAAAACTTCTCAAAAAAGTAAAGTCATAATTAGTCAAGAGTAGTCATAATAAACAAATAATTAGACAAACATTTTAAACAAATGACATTGTTGGGTCGTAAACATCTACCTTGTTATAAATTTATTTTAATTAATTAAGCAGAAGCTTCAATACTATTTTTTTTATAAATGTAATATTGTTTAAATTAAACAATATCAGATACATCGTCGATAAATCTTTATGTGTCATTCCACTAATACCCTATATTATAAATCAATTTTTTTTGTTGGTTATGGTTCACAGACATTCGCAAATAACCAATTAACTGATAGTTGGAATATGAAAATGCTCAAATTCACTCCAGTAAAAAGAGATCAAAGTAACAAACTGTATAAATGAAGACGCCGTCGGAAAAAATCCAGTTCTTTCCCTTCTTGACGTTTCTTGAAATGATAAAGTCAATTGCCGGTAAAGCAAATGCAATTGAAGACTATTAAAAACTTTGTTAGTCGACGCATTTAAAGAAATTCTTACATTATGGAAATTACTATTTCAAGGAACTCTATTGATATTGATATTTATTGAGATTTCATTAAAAACAGTTTACTTGGTCTCGATAACGTTTTACTTAATAGAAATATTTTTTTTATAAACTAATTAATTACTTACTCTTCAAAATGTTTAAAACTGTATAGGCACTATAGTAAATGTGGCGCGTACCTTGACCTTAAACTTTGACTTCATTTTGGATAGTTTAAATAACAAAAACAAATGACTTCTCTGATAATAAATTATTTATTACAAAATAATTAAAAT